CTGACTCCAGCTTCCTGCCAATGCACAACTCAGGAGGCAGCAGCCATGGCTCAAGTAATTGGGTTCCTGCCACCCACGTGGGGAGAACGGACAGAGTTCCCAGATGCCGGCTTTAGCTCCAGGCAGGCACCTGGGGAGTGAGCCAGCTGAGAGCTCCTTCTGCCTCTCAATACAACGAGGAGAGGAGTATTGAAGGAGTATTGAAGCGGGGAGAGGAGTGTCTGCAAGGTAGGAAGACGTCACTTGGGAGGCCTCCCTCCTGGATCAGAGTGCATGGGCTGGAGGCCTAGCTCTGCTCAGTTCCAGCTTCCTGCTAATGCATTCCCGCGGAGGCAACAGGTGATGGGAGACCTGGAGGAGTTCCTGGCTGCTGGCTTCAGCTGGATCCAACCTTTAACCTCCTCGGCTGTGTGGGCATCTGGGGAGTGAGCCAACAGTGATCTCTGTCTCTGTCTCTCTCTCTCTGTCTTTCTCTCTCTCTGCTTTTCAAATGAATAAAACCAAACATTTAAAAAGATACCCACTATGGGGTTCAATTGGCAAGGGCCACCATGGGATGAGCAAAGTGAAGAAACTCAGCCCTGGTAGACGCAGCGTATAGGGAGCCTGGAGCAAAGGGGCAAAGCCCCATGATCAGGAGACTGGTTAATCACAGGAAGAGGGGACACACACACAAACACATTAAGGAGTAGCAGAGCCCAGTTTTTAAATGTAGAATCAAGGAGTTACCAATGTGGAAGGAGGGAGGTAACCCCCTGGGAGAAATGGAACTGGCGATCAGTGTGACCTTGTGGCTTTTAATATGTACACATGGCTGAATGAGGACCAAGCACACGTGCACCTGTTTCCAAATCTGCACACTGACAACCTAGCAGCAACGGCAGCACAGTGGCGATGAGCACAGCCCAGCCCCCAGATCTCGGTTCTAAATACCACTCTCTGTTAAAATGAGCCAGCACTCTGGAGAAATGGCTGATCCTAGGAGCAGGATAGGAACAGATGAGCCTGGAACATTCTAAGGTACCAGGAAGTCAAGAACTCAAAGAATGAGGGGATGTCAAAAGGACACAGGAGCCAGGTAGAAAATGTTCTCACCAGCCAAAACTGGGACGACAGCACTGTCCAAATAAATCCTGATATTTTACAGATTATAAAACAGAAATCCATGTTCCAAACCGATTTAAATACTGAGTAAATAAATGGGGAAATGCTATCCCATAGAATGACAATTCAAGGTAGAAGCAATGGTGGTATCAGAAAATCACCATCTGGCAATACATGATTCAGATACGAGTCACCAACGATGCTAAAAGCAGTAGACACACATCTGAGAAAGAACAGGGTACTGATACACTCTCAAAGCAACTCCCTACAAAATGCATAGTCCCCATTAATAAGTAATCAGTTCACAACGGATATCATGCTGTGTATTGTTAAATTAGTACCCAAAAAAGTGGGAAAATACTTATTCACAGTGAAGAAATGTTGAAGACATCATAACCAAGTTAAAAATTAGCATTCCCCAGTCATGGGAAAAATTGACACTATGAGCTTCTCCATACAAAATAGGAAGCCAGAATCACTTCTCTGGTATTTCTGCCAAAAATTCGTAACCTGAATCGAATCATTAGGAAGCACTGGACAAACCCAAAGTGAGAGTCATTTTACAAATTCACTGGTCTGCACTCTTCAAAAATGTCAGGGTCACAGAAAAGGGAACCCCAGGGAACTGCTCGAGACTGAGGGAGACCAAGCAGAAAGCACAGCTCAACATATGCATCCGGGATTGGGCCCTGGACAAAAAGGAGAGATTTTTTAAAGATTTATTTAATTATTTGAAAGGCAGAGAGAGAGAGATTCCATCTGCTGGTTCACTCCCCAAATGGACCTAATGGCCAGGGGCTGGATCAAGCCAAAGCCAGAAGCCTGGAACTCAATCCAGGTCTTCCATGTTGAGGGATAGGGGCCCAAGCACTTGGGCCATCTTCCATTGCTTTCCCAGTTGCATTAGCAGGGAGCTGCATTCAAAGAGGAGCAGCCAGAACTCAAATCAGCACTCCTATGGGATGCCAGCATTGCAGGTGGTGGCATAACCCATTGAGCCACAACGCCAGCCCCAGGAGACAACTCTAAGGACATGGACATTTGGAGTAACTGGCGACATTTAAGTAGGGCTTGTAGCATTAAATGGTGGATTCTATCAGTGTTGGCCTCCTGATTTTGATGGAAACCCTGAGGTGATGCGGGAACGTGCCCTTACTCTAAACACACACACACTGGGAGCAGGTGTTTAGCCTGGCAGCCAAGGTGCCTGGGTCCCACCCCGGAGTGCTTGGTTCTGATTCCTAACTGTAGCTCCTGACTCCAGCTTCCCCTCAACATGGAACCTGAAAGGGCAGTGCTGATGGCTCAGGTAATTGGGTGCTTGCGACTCACATGGGAAACCTGGATTATGATCTCAGCCCCTGGCTCTGGCCCAGCATTGGCCATTGTAGGCATTCGGAGAACAAACCACTGAAAACCAGCGATGTGAATGCTCTCTCTCTCCCTGCTGTCTCTCAAATAAATAAACATTAAAATAAGAGATACACACTGAATTGTTTAGGACTAATAGGCCACCATAACTGCAACTTACTCTGAGATGGCTCAAGTTTGATAAGTAGATTGGAAGATAATGACAAAGTTATCAACAACAGTGGGATCTAGGGGCAGGACACATAGGGCCTTTTACCTATCTCCTAACTTATGTAGGATTGAAATTATATCAACACAAGAAGTTAAAAAAAGAAAAGACAAATACAAGTAGCCCTTCAGCTATTAGGAATTTATTATAATGGCTTCTGTACTACTAGAAAAATCTGTATTTAATGGTTTCATCACCTTAGGTACAAAGTATACAAAAGAATAATTGAAATGAATGTGCAAGTTTTTCCTAATGGCAGCAATACAGATATAAAATTCTGCTTAATAATTTAAGAAGTTCAACATTCCAAATTCTCAGTGAATATACTTTTTTCTCCCTGCAAACTTATCTTGCAGGGGTAGATAGAATCATATACAATATATGAGAACAAAAAACTTTGAGAATGTAAATTGTAGACATATGGGATAGTAATTCTTTTTCTCTTATAAATGAAAGGTCTTAAACAACCTCTAGACATTTACACACTTTGATACTTAAGTGCCATGCCCAGTAGATAAAGCTGAAATTTAAAAAAATATTTATTTTACTTGAAAGTCAAAGAGAGAGAGAGAGAGAGAGAGAGAGAGAGAGAGGTCTTCCATCTGATGGTTCACTCCTGAATTGGCTGCAACGGCCGGAGCTGTGCCTATCCTAAGCCAGGAGCCAGGAGCTTCCTCTGTATCTCCCATGCGGGTGCAGGGGCCCAAGGACTTGGCCATCTTCTACTGCTTTCCCAGGCCATAGCAGAGCTGGACTGGAAGAAAGCAGCTGGGTCTCAAACCAGCGCCCGTACGGATGCCAGCACTGCAGGCGGCAGCTTCATCTGCTATACCACCATGATGGCCCCAAAGCTGGAAATCATAGCACCTTTTTAAGTTCTGGTATGCATTCCACGACTTTTATTCACAGTTTGGTATTGAACAGATCATTTTGTTAAAAAAATTTTTTTTTTTTTACAATTTATTTATTTGAAGGGCAAATAAACAGAAAGAACAAGACAGAATTCCCATCTGCTGGTTCACTCCCCAAACACCACAGTGGTCCCAGGCCAGGATGGAGCCACAGCCAGGAGCTGAGAACTCTATCCAGGCCTCCCACAGAGGAGGCAGGAACCCAGCGACTTGGACCCACCCCGCTGCTTCCCTGACGGAGTCCGGAGCCAGGGCTGGGAATCAACACAGGCACGGCAGCCTAACAACAAAGCTGATGCCCGCTCCCGACAGCTCCTTTCAAGATAAGAAGAAACTGCCTAGGACGGCAATGACTACGCTAAGAGAAAAGTTTATTTTCTTCTAAATCACTTTCTTCTTTTGGACATTTACAGTCAAGTAGTAACACCACACCATGATAAGCCAAGACTACAACTGTTTCTAAAACAATGTACGTTTCTAACAAGCTTGGCAAAAGGAGCTGAAGAAAAATAGAATTCGGAAAATATTTGAAGCAAGGGCAACACAGCACCCTTCCCACAGTGCTTTGAACTTTGAAGGACTTTGCTACTTCTAAATGATCAATTAGTACTTAAAAAAAAACCCCAAGCCGGCGCCGTGGCTCAATAGGCTAATCCTCCACCTTGCGGCGCCGGCACACCGGGTTCTAGTCCCGGTTGGGGCGCCGGATTCTGTCCCGGTTGCCCCTCTTCCAGGCCAGCTCTCTGCTATGGCCAGGGAGTGCAGTGGAGGATGGCCCAGGTGCTTGGGCCCTGCACCCCATGGGAGACCAGGAAAAGCACCTGGCTCCTGGCTCCTGCCAGGATCAGCGCGGTGCGCCGGCTGCAGCGGCGGCCATTGGAGGGTGAACCAACGGCAAAGGAAGACCTTTCTCTCTGTCTCTCTCTCTCACTGTCCACTCTGCCTGTCAAAAAAAAAAAAAAAAAAAAAAAAAAAAAAAAACCCGTGTTAGAAAAAAAATACATATCATAAACTGGATATTAAGCATTATAGTCAACACAAGCTCAGAAAACAATGTAGTAAGCCCTCATAAATCCTTTGTATATCCGCTTGAGATGTTTACTCAGTATCAAAAACTGGAAAAAGATCCATGGAATCCATTAACAATTTCACAAAAAAAGGACACGCGTTTGGGTCTCAACTCCAGTGAAAACTCTCAAAGTTCTATTTTGCCCTTGGGCATCACATTTTGACTTCAAAAGAGCTAAATTAAAATGGGCCCTAGCAATGAGTGAAAAACGCCAACGGAAAACACACACACACACACACACACACACACACACAGAGCTGTGTGCAAATGTGGTGGTAGGGAGAGAAGAGAAATAGAAGCAGGAAAAGCAAATTGGATAGCTTCACTTCCAGCAAAGTCCAGGGCTTTCATATTTATTTTTTAATTTTGGGTATTTTCCCATAAACACAGCTGAAACAGATAACAGATAAACGATAAGCAAAAGAAGAGGTGGGGGTGGGGGAGCGATATTCCCAAGTGGGCATCTCCGAAGGCCCTGCTGCATCTTCATTTCCACGTTAATGCCACTCACCCCATCGTCACCCCTGGAACAGACTCTCGGTCACATCACTGAACCACTAACACTGTCGGCATCCTTTGTCTTGAGCGATATCAGTTAACTGATATTTGGAAGGACGGTAACCTTGGGATAAAACTAGAACCTTACAGCCAAAGGCAACTGCAGGGGACGTCTCCTCTTTCCCCTCCCACCTCTCCTGTCTATGGGATGAGATATCAGTCTGTCTCAGCCCGTGAGTACCCTCAGCGTGGCTACTCATCATTCTTAGATGAACTGAACTTACTGTGCTGGGTGAAGCGATCGGAAGCCACACAGCCAGCAGTGTAGACAACACTGGCTTCCCCGGGGCTCAGTCCCAGCCCAGCCCTGCCCTGAACCAGCCACGTGGCTCTCAGGCAAACCCTCTCCCTTTCACAGGCCCATTCGTTCAATGCCAAAGTCAGTGGCTGGAACCAGATGGTTTTTTAGCCCCTGTTAGCCATAACATTTTAAGATTTTAAGTCGTAAATCTTAACTTTTTGTTTTTTTTCCTATTAAATGTGAATGGGCCTTTTGGGAAGACATTGGTAAAACTCATGCAGAAATGCAAGGACCCCAAACAAGCTCAAGAGAAAACACAGTTGGGGAACTCTCACTTCCTGATTTCAAAGGCTTTACCACTACAAAGTAGTCAAGACAGTGTGGTACTACGACAGAGATACGGATCCATGAGGAGAACGAGAGCCCAGGAGCAAACTCGCACATTTATGGAGAACAATTCTCAACAAGGGCGGCAAGACAATTCCTTGAAGAAGCACTCCTCACAACAAACGGTGCTGGGATAACTGGGTATCCACACACGAAAGAATGAAGTTGGACCCTGCCCTTAGGTAAAACTCTAAGACTCATAGAAAAAAGTATAAATCGCCATGACTCTCAGTGAGGCGACGGTCGTGATGGGTATGGTGTTCCTTTCTGTGGGATGATGAGGTTCTGGCATTAGACAGCGGCGATGGTTGCACAACTCTGTGTACACCAATGCCAGCCAACTGTACACTATGTGAATTGTATCTCAAAGTAAAAAAAAAAAAAAAAAAAAAAAAAAAGAGGCAAATGGCTCTCCTCAGAAAATTGACTTCCTCTCTTTCAGGCCACCTACTGGGTCATGACCCCAATATTTGACATTTATAATCCTGATGCAACAAATAATAATTTATTTTTAATCAAATTATTTGCAGATGCTAATAGTCCAAGTTGTATTTATTCTTCTAACTAATAAAGGTCTAGAAATTTCTCCGAGTTCCTGATTTATCTCAGTCACTTATGTATTTTTCCTAAGTAACTGAGGCTAAACAAGTCCTAGAAATTTTAGTAAACTTGCCAATTGGAAACAGGTAAAAGTATTGCTCTTTCAATGACATTATTTAACACAGTCATCTTCAAGCAGTACTTCAAAATTTAACACCTGTTCATAGGACAATAAAAAGGCTAGCCAAGAGACACTTTTTGAAGAACAGTATTATGATGTGAGATGTATGATTAGATGCTTTAAACCATGAAACAAATGCAGAGCTTCTCTCCCTGGATATAAACAGTATTATAGGCTCACCTGATTCAGCAATAAGAGTTTTTTTTAAGTGACAAATTTTTAATGCACTAAAAAGAAACCATACTCTCTATTCATCATCAACATTGTTTTGTGCATCTGGTTTTCTGTATCAGAAGGCTGGAACCCTGCATTAGCATTATACTCTACACTAAGCATTTGAAATAGTGACATATTAATTCTAATCTGACACCAGCTGGTATGATGTACACAGCCCCATAAAGTTAGGCAAGACCAGTCACTGCTGCTAACAACACAGAGCGTGAAGAGCAGGGTTACGTCATTTAGAAATAAGCATGAAAGTCTGCCGTGATTAAACTGCTTCCTACAAAGGAAAGCATCATGAGATGACAATAGGGTGACCCAGTTTTCGCACTGCTTAGGTTTCGGTGAAAACTGCAGGTTTTCGGTTTTCACTCGAGAAACAGTGGTTTATAGTTCACCAGGAAAGTCAGCAACACAGAAAGGAAGTCCTTTTCCAACTCACTATGAGCGTTATTCTGAGTAACGTGTGTAAAATCCAGCCGCTACTCGGGTAACCCTGGGAGAGAGCAAGCCAAAGATGGAAGCATCTACGCTTCGTAGTTCAGGTACACCACCACCTTACAAAAGTGAGGTGCAACATTTGTTTCCTTGAAACAGAGCACTGAGCAGTCTCACACCAGGCAGGTATTTTGAATTATGTATTACATATGCATAGCCAAACAAGAGTGTTGTAATTCAAACTGAGTGACAAGATCTTGATGAAACAAGAAATGGGAGAAGTAAAAATTGATTTCTACACAAAATGTGTACAACCTCACGTGAGAGTAAATGACCGGAAATACAGAGACTCCATGTGCAAAGCCTGCATCTCGGAATTCAGAGTTGTAACATAGATTCTGTGTTTTCTAAATGCCTAAGCTTCAAAAAACTGTTTTATCAGTTTTGGTGTTTTTTTTTTCTTTTTCTTTTTCTGTAGCACATCTTTTATAAGTAAGTCTCACTTTTCATTCCAGAAGATACAAGAAACAGTTCGCAAGAATTCATGCAAACGTGTTTCTCTAAGGCCATGAACTGGTTGGCTAAGCTGCATTGTTTTATTCAAGTAAAATACCCTTCCAGATAAGGGAGGTGTGCGGGAAGCTGTCGCCTTCGGTTCTCGGACCTGTCCAGGACTTCAGCGCTCTGAAAGCCGAAAGGGAGAGTGCCCCGCTGAGCATTAACAAAGTGAGCTCTATTTACATTTTTGAAAAAATTTAATCCGCGTTCCGTTTTCCTGGCAGATTCTCTCCGTACGTCACAAAACAAAGCAGCCACAGCTTGGAGTAGACAGAAGCCTTTCTCTGGGGAAGGCCAGGCAGACGCTTCTCGGCACACGTCCTTCACACGATGGCGTACTGTTCGTACAAAAGGTCTCTTATCCTATAGAAGTCTTGACAAAGGCAGCCTTCTAGTCCAATGCGTCCAGTTTCCGTCTACAAAGTTTATGAAAAAAGTTATTTAGTACATTTCCTATTCATTAACCCAGAGACACAATAATCCAAGTACACCTAGCGGCTGGCTTCATGACTGGTCAGGAAACAGGCCGCTCTGATTCACAGTATTCAAGTCATGAATTTTTTTTTTTTTTTTTTGACAGGCAGAGTGGACAGTGAGATAGAGAGACAGAGAGAGAAAGGTCTTCCTTTTGCCGTTGGTTCACCCTCCAATGGCCGCCGCTGCAGCCGGCGCACCGCGCTGATCCGATGGCAGGAGCCAGGATCCAGGTGCTTTTCCTGGTCTCCCATGGGGTGCAGGGCCCAAGCACTTGGGCCATCCTCCACTGCACTCCCTGGCCATAGCAGAGAGCTGGTCTGGAAGAGGGGCAACCGGGACAGAATCCGGCGCCCCGACCGGGACTAGAACCCGGTGTGCCGGCGCCGCAAGGTGGAGGATTAGCCTATTGAGCCACGGCGCCGGCCTTCAAGTCATGAATTTTACAGAGAAAGAAGAAACGCCAGGAATCAAATAAGAAAAATTATCACAAAATTGTGTATCACCTCAAAGTCATTTTTATAAGCCTTTTCAAAGTCATCATGATAAATATAAATGACTGATCTTCAGTTTTATAAAAGTATCCATCGATGATTATGGAATTCAAAATGAGAAAACATCAGAAGCACCTGATCAATTCAGCCCTTATCAAAATTAAAAACAAACTTACTCTTCGGACTGCTACTTGGTTGTTGCAAACAAGTACACCTCCGACAAACTCCGCTTGAATTCCCTCCCGTAAAAGGACTTGCTTGAAGTCTGAGAGCCTTGGTTCATTCATGAAAACTGACTGATGTCCTGGAACCTTGGGTAAGGCCAAAGAGGAAGGAGCAAGTTCAACTAAAACATCAGACACACAGTTGTGCCAAAAGCAGTCTGTGTCTCCCCGAGGCCCTCTGACAGATCATTTCGAGACTGTACATCGATTCCGGGCAGCTATCTGATGCTACCTCATTATTTAGCACTACAAAGCTCTTCCCATTTTGGGAAAGTTTTGCAATCACTGCCATCAGTCATGCCTCCCAACAGCAGAGGACTGAGGTGATGGGAGGGGCTCCACTCCCCCACTTGCCTGAGGGTCCAGGAGTGCCAGCAGGCAGCACTGACCCGAGCACTCCTCCCAGGCCCCAGCTTGTGCTCACGCAAGGCGAATTCTCTGTGGGCTCTGTCCTCCCTCAGAGGGAACGCCACGAAAGCCACATCTTTCAGAATCAGAAGGGCAAGTGGTCCTTGCGAACTCTCCTGCTTTGAAACGGCTTTGAAGAGCGCTAGCTTCTGCACACAAAGAAAACACCCTCTAATTCCTCCTCCCAGTTTCAAGAGCAGCACTCAAAGAAGCTCTCTGTTCTCTCAATTCTACAGCAGGGCTAAAGGCATCACTTGTCATGCATGCGGGACTTGGAGCTTTAATACCGTTCTGAGTTTAAGTACCTAGAATCTTCCCTAATTAAATAGATAACTCTTGAAAACAGGTAAATACTAGGCGAGGATTACAGCTATACTTACTAAGTGATCTGAACTGAATTGAAAACACACAAAACGGAGTGCCAGAGTATGATGCTCTGGGAAACAACCCTGGCAAAGGGCAGTCCTACACCTGGCAGACTGCGTAATTCACAAGTTCATACTAGGGGCCGGCATTGTGATGTAGCAAGTAAAGTCGCCACCTGCGATGCCAGCATCCTAAACGGGTGCTGGTTCAAGTCCCGGCTGCTCCACATCTGCTCCAGCTCCATGCTAACGTGCCTGGGAAAGCAGCGGAGGATGCTCTAAGTGTTTGGGCCCCTCCCACACGGGAGACCCAGATGAAGCTCCCGGCTCCTGGCTTCGACCTGACTCAGTGCCGGCCGCTGCGGCCATCTGTGCAGTGAACCAGTGGGTGGAAGCTCTCTCTGTCTCTCCCTCTCTCTCACTTTCAAACAAAATAATAAATCTTAAAAAAAAAAAAAAGTTCATACTAAAGACTCACCAAATGTTTCCTGTAAAATGTCGTCATTCCTTTGCCATATAGAACTCACACACGTGTGCGTGCGCGCACACACACACACACACACACGTCTTGAGTAATGTTCTCTAAAACCCAGTGGGCCCACATGTGCCACATACTCTGAGAGGTTAAACACAGGCCGCGACACCAGCGCCACGCGAGTGAGGAAGGGCAGGGCAGCCTGTTCTCTACCTCGTGCGGCGGCAGGGGCTCCAAAGTGGGGATGATCTCACTCTCCTCCCCCGCCTCCTTCTCGTCATCCCCGAACAGGCTCTTCATGGCCTTCTGCTGCGCGATCACGCTCGAGTCGGAAGGGGCGTCCACCTGCATCTCAGCGTCCTCTCCGTCGTCCTTCAGCTCCCCTTCTTCCAAAATAACTCCCGTGTCCACCTTGGAGACTCTCATGTCCAGCACACCGTCTATCCAGGCCAACTCCGCGTCTTTGGCCTTACAAAACTGAAGGGAGCTGACGAGGGAGTCTTTTAACCTCACCTGGACAGGCAAAGAGGAGAGGGAAGAGAAATCCAGAGTACAAGTTAACGAGTTAAATACAAACCACTATTATCATTCCCTGACGCCTGCGGGTCTTCCACCTGATGCCACGCGATGGGCACTGATCCAACAGGACCTTAGGGCTACTCTGCTTCCCTGACTGCACCTCGGAATCAGGTTTGGTTTACTTTCACAAATGACAATGCCAAGGCCTCACCTCCAGTGTGGGTGGTATAACAGGCGCACGGAGTCCCTGCGACCCCCAGAGCTCCCCAGACGATTCCGAGAGACACGCGAGTCTCGCCCTCCGGCGCTCCGTGGCCTCCTGCCCCTTCTGGAACACTCCCTGCAGTCTCCCACCGCTGTACTCTGGCCCGCTGCTTCCTCCTGCTTCTGCCCAGAATACTGTTTCCCGCTGGTAAGTAGAGCCCCCTTCTAGATCCGGACGTCACTGCTGCCTTAAGCGGAACCATCCCCCACCGCCGGGTAAGAGTCCGTCTCTCTGGACTACTCTCGTTTCCTGCGCCTGGCTCCGTCTGCCGTAGTCAGGAGCAGAACCCTGCTGTCTGTGGGTTTTTCTGAAACGTCTGAATTCTGGCCCTCAGCCACACTCACCTGGTAGATGTGTGTCTCACTGGTGGCATCCACGGTTTCATGGAGCTTCGGCATGTACACTTTGATGTCCTTCCCGCCAAACGCGCGGCAGCACTCGGCCAGGTCCTGGCTGGCCTCCGGGGGCCCATGGACGATGATGAGCTGCCGGGGCTTCATCTGGTTAATGATTTTCTTGATGGAATCCCCGTCAGAGCGGCCTTCGTAGTCTATGTAGGTGACTCTGGCTCTGTAATCAGACACGGTGACTTTTCTGACAGACTAGTTCTAAAACTGTGCTTTTAATGGCTTTTGTCATCAGGAAATGCATATAATAAATAAAAAGAAGATTTAAGAAATGCATGCATGTTTTGTTAATATGTATTAGTTAGATCTTGGCTATACCCAAGAATATATGTAAACAACAATATCGGAAAAATAAACTCATTGTGCTGAGACTTCAAGAAACACTCCCTGGGCAGGCGTGTTTGTGGTGTAGCAGGTAAAGCCACTCCCTGCGATGCAGGCATCCCATATGGGCACTGGTTCAAGTCCCCGCTGCTCCACTTCCAGTCCAGCTCCCTGCTAATGGCCTGGGAAGGCAGCAGAGGATGGTTCAAATGCACCCACATGGCAGATCTGGGAAAAAGCTCCTAGCTCCTGGCTCTGGCCTGGTCCAGCCCCGGCCGCTGTGGCCACTTGGGGAGTGAACCAGTGGATGGAAGATCTTTCTCTGTAACTCTGCCTTTCAAATAAGTAAAATAAATCTTAAAAAAGTGATCATTCACTGGTGTCATTAACAGTACTAAAAAGAAAGGGTCAGAAAGATTTCTTAACTACTTCAGATTACAATGTTATTTTTTAGACATTAGGGCACTAGACAAGTTTGAGTCAATGAGTATATTTTTTGAAACAAGCAGGTACTCACACAGATTAAAACTTTGAGGAGTCAGCGCTGTGGCACAGCAGGCTAAAGCCCTGGCTTGCAGCACTGGCATCCCATTTGGGCACCAGTTCAAGTCCCAGCTGCTCTAACTTCGATCCAGCTCTCTGCTGTAGCCTGGGAAAGCAGCAGAGCATGGCCCAAGTCCTTGGGCCCCTACACCCACGTGGGAGACCTGGAAGAAGCTCCTGGCTCTGGATTGGCTCAGCTCCCACCGATGTGGCCATTTAGGGAGTGAACCAGTGGATGGAAGATCTCTCTCTCTCTCTATGTGTCTCTACCTCTCTCTGTAACTCTTTCAAATAATAATTTAAAAAAAAAAAAACCTTTGAGTTACACTACTTTCACTTGCCACCAGACTTACAAAAAAGGCCAGAAATAATATTTCTTCATTTTAGTACATAATTTAATGTTTAACCCCTTCAACCACCAATTTAATTACTCTCACATTCAAATATCATCAACAAAGAGAAAATACTACCATATTTCACAAAATAGAAATTGGGTTTTAAAAGCACAAATTTACTATGAGAGAATCAAAAATTTTACTTTTCAAACAATATAAATTATATAACTCAAGTGCTTGCAATGTTTTCTTGTAATTTGTTTTCAAAATACCCCAGAAGTACTCACTTTATTTCAATGGACTCTGTTGTGGAAATACACTTAGTAGGAACATCAGACAAGTCCTGATCCATGGGTTCGTCTCCATTTGTCAGACCAGATTCTAATTTGCTTTTCTCTTCCTCAGTAGCTTGAAGTTCTGGCACTAAGAAATCCTCTGGTCTAAATAATAAGTCTCTAATTAGAAGTAGTAAAAAAGCAAGCTAATATTACATAATATTTCTAACTAACTAGTAGGTGGCATAATTTTCAAGACTCTTCATGTATTTCAAGATTTAAGTATGCATTTGATCCAAAGCCAAAGCAGTTTCATAACATCAGTGATCAGATGATTGTGTGGCCTGCGTTCTGCGTAGCCTGAAAGAGTGCTCCTCGGCATACAGCCTGCGCACTAATGAAAGGCTCCCCCAGGTCACTGGGGACCCGAGTGGCTCTCACGGAACTGCGCACACTGGCCCCGCGTTCATCTCAACAATTCCTCTTCTCGATTCCTATGGCTTCCTCTGCCAAATCTCACTACTTAAGAACTCGATTCCTTTGATGTCCATAAGACCCCCACTGATTTCCGTCCCACCCAGAGAAAGCAGATGACTTCACCTGCACGACCGCGAGCAGGCTGACTGCCGCGTCACCGGCCCCTCCTGACCCTTCATCCTTATTTCAGTGCACAGTTAGCAGAGCTAACTTCCCACTCCCACTTCCAGTATCAGAGAGAGTTCTGATCCCAACTTTGAAAAGAAGCGTTAAACACTGCCGTGCTGTGAAGTGTCCACGTCCCACTCCCAGATCTGCTCAGACTCCTCTCCGGGACCCCAGCACCCAGATGGCTAAGGCAGCTTCTCAGCCCCTGAAGTCCAGGGTCTCCAGCTGTCATTCTCATGTCAGTAACAGCAGCAACCTCGTACACTTACCAGCTACCATGCCAAGTGCTTAAAAATACAACCTCACCGCATTCTTATCCCCATGTTTCAAATACACTCACGACAAGCACACTCACCAACGCTGCCCAAGTTGTTGGGCTGTACAGCGTGGTCTCAAAGGGCCAAGCAGACAGTGGAATTTTTCTAATTAAACCCAAGAGTAACCTGTGTCCACTCTATGCTGACGTAGCAATCTGGAAATACAACGGAAGTACAGAGAGGGACCTGACTGTGTTTAGGGGTTTGCAAGGCCAGATTCAGCTGCCTGGAAGCCTGGGACGGGAAGGTTGGACAGGGCCGAAGGAAAAACTTGGGCAAAGGCATGGCACGAAGGAAAACAAGCAGCAGGAAACGGAGGGGGCTGGAACCAACAGCGAGGACCATGATGGACAGAGAAACGCAAGCGAGAAGCCAGAGTGAGAAATCACTGCCATTATGCTGTGACGTGTGACGCTGGGGAAGCAAGAGGAACGCTGAAGGTTTTACACAGCAGGGTGGTTTTCAAATGAGGAACCAGAACACGCGATTTCAGTTGTTTTTCTAACGGTGGGTGTAGATTCTGTAAACTTCCCATAGTTCCACACGTGCTGCGTATTTCTCTTGTAACTAAAACACGCGTGTCATAGGGGACCCATGACCTGTTTCCCAGACTGACTGCGATCACCAACCACCAAAAGTCCCCTCTAACCCTGGGTCTTCCTCCCGGCCACGCCCCTTGTTGCTCTTTGTTAAGTCACGAAGAGTGGGGGGAGAGTGGGAGGAGAGGTCTCGGTCATCTTTTTAAACCTTTCACACAACTAAGTAATAAAACCACCAGTTTCCCCTTAATATTGACTCTCCAGATGTTCTACAACCTTTCTACTTTTACATTTCAAACCAGAAGGCTTCTCTAGGTTTCAAGCCATGGTACTCAGAAATCGACAGAGCACACAGTAACCAGAAAGAGCAGAGTCGCAAAGCTGCAAGGACACCACAGCCAGCACTTCATCGGTGAGAAAGAAAAGCCGGCTGTGCTCACGTACTTGATAATTTCGCCATACTCATCCCACTTAATTCTCTCCTCGGGAGCAGGGAACATGGGGTAGGACTTCTTTGCCTGTTTGAAGAAACTTCCTTTCCGACTGCCCTCCCCCTTCATCATCAGGTCGTGCTTCATCTTGTGAGCCGACGGCTGGTCGATGTCCTCCTCCACGTCACTCTCGTCACTGGAGTCTATGTCCGCCCTAGGGGGATCGCGGAGTCCCAAAGAGACATCGAGGTCAGATTTACGACGTCACTACTCAACAGTAGCTCCTCTTGTAACACATTCAATATTATCAGACTGATATTTTGTAAAACACGAACTCCCAGGTAGTAAAATATTAATATTAATACTGAAAGGACTTGGTATTCTAGCCATTTGCAAAATGTAACAAAAGTAATGTAGGTCCTAAGAATACCCAAGTGTCTTCCACTGAGGATTTAAGTCAGAAGTGCGCCCACGGCAGGTTACATACACTCGTCATTTGGCGATAACTCACTCTTTGGATTGCTCAAGCTTTTTAGCAGCTTCCTTCTTTAGTTTCTCTTTCTCCAAGTATTCTTCAAGTTCTTTCCCTTCAAGCTTCACGCGTTTCCGCAACTGCAGAGAGCAGCAGACACGGAGGGATTACGGCGTGGAGTATGAGACACATCACGTCTCCACACAGATTTGTTATCTTCAAACAAAATCCCCTCGGAAATTGATCACGTTTCCACTACATGCAATTACAGATCTTATTTAGATTAGTGCTAAAACTGAGCTTCACATACCCTGGATGGTTTTAACTTTCATAAAACTGTTTGAAAAACACCAATCAATCAGGAGAAGGAGGTACAGATAATTATTTTTACAAGTTGTAGTAGGTGAGGTTACATGACGTAAAACCCAAAGCCATAATGGGAAAGATAATAAATGTGGCAACATGAAAAAATAAAATCTCCCATTGACATTCCAAGTCTTGTGAAATTAAAACAAATGAAGAAAAATATTTGCAGTACTATGACCATCAGAAGTTGGTTTTTCCTATGAGCTCTTCCAAATTAGTTAAGAAATGGATGATCAACATATCAAAAGGGAAAAAATAGAGAAGTGCAATTTACAAAAAAGGAAAATAACCAATAACCATAAAAAGATATATACTTTTACTAATGATTTTTTTAAAGATTTATTTATTTGAAAGAGTTACAGAGAGGGAAGAAGAGACAGAGAGAGAAAGAAAAAGAGAGAGAGAGAGAGTGTGTCTTCCATCCTCTGGTTCACTCCCCAAATGGCTGCAACAGCCAGGGCTGAGCCAGTCCAAAAGCCAGAAGCCAGGAGCTTCTTCCAGGTCTCCCACATGGGTGCAGGAGCCCAAGCACTTGGGCTCTCTTCTATTACTATCCCAGGTCATAACAGAGAGTGGGATCAGAAGGGGAATAGCAGGGACTTGAACCAGTGCCCATATGGGATGCCAGCACTTTAGGTGGTGGCTTTACCTACTATGCCGCTAATGATTTTTTAAAAATGCAAAATACAAAAAATGAAACACATCTCTTAAAATGTACAAATCAGAAACGCTAATTGCTATATGGGAAAAGGATAGTTTTATCCACTGCCTTGGAAAATTAGCAGAAGGCAATTTGTTAACATTTAAAAACAAAAATGTGGAGCCAGCGCTGGGGCATAGTGGGTAAACCCACCAACTACAACAGCAGCATTGCATATGGGCGTTGGTTCGTGTTTGGACTGCTCTACTTCCAATCTAGCTCCCGGCTGACGGCCTGGGAAAAGCAGCAGAAGACGGGCCAAGTGTTTGGGCTCCTTCCACCCATGCGCAGACCCAGATGAAGCTGCCAGCTTCTGGCTTTGGCCCGGCCAAGTCCTGGCTGTTGCAGTCATCTAAGAAGTGGACCAGAGGATGCAAGCTTTTCTCTCTGCCTCTCCCTCTCTTTCTATAACTCTCTCAAATAAATAAATCTTAAAAAAAAATTTCAAATGACAAGATGTTTCAATGAATTTTTTTAAGATTTTACTTATTAGAGAGGCAGAGTTACAGTTAGAGGTCTTTCTTTCTTTCTTTTTTAAAGATTTATTTAATAATTTGAAAGGCTGAGTTACAGAAAGGTAGAGAGAGAGAGGTCTTCCATCCTGCCAGTTCACCCCCCAACTGGCTGCATGGCTGAAGGTGTGCCAATCCAAAGCCAGGAGCCCGGAGCTTCTTCAGGTCCCCCTTGTGGGTTCAGGGGCCCAAGACTTGGGCCATCTTCTACTGCTTTCCCAGGCCATAGCAGAGAGCTGCATAGGAAGTGGAGCAGCCGGGACTCGAACTGGTGCCCATAAGGGATGCCAGTACTGCAGGTGCCACAGTGCCAGCCCCAGAGAGATGTCTTTCTTCTGCTGGTTCACTTCCCAAATGGCTGCAATGGCTGGCGGTAGGCAGATCTGAAGCCAGGAGCTTCTTCTGGGTTTCCCACATTGGGGTAGGGGCTCAAGTACTTGGGCCATCTTCCACTGCTTTTCCCAAACCATTAGCAAAGAGCTGGATCAGAAGAGGAGTAGCCAGGACATGAACTGGTGTCCATAGAGGATGCTGGCGCCCCTACCCTACCTACTATGCCACAGTGCCAGCCCCTCAATGAATTTTAATATAACAGAATACAAATAATGTATTGGTATAGCTTTCAAGTCCAGATTATAATCAACTTTTTTTTTTTTTTAATTTGACGGGCAGAGTTAGACAGTGAGAGAGACAGAGAGAAAGGTCTTCCTTCCATTGGTTCACGCCCAAATGGTCGCCACGGCCGGCATGCTGCACTGATCCGAAGCCAGGAGCCAGGTGCTTCCTCCTGGTCTCCCATGTGGGTGCAGGGCCCAAGCACCTGGGCCATCCTCCACTGCCTTCCCAGGCCACAGCAGAGAGCTGGACTGGAAGAGGAGCAACCGGGACTAGAACCCAGCGCCCACATGGGATGCTGGCACCGCAGGCGGAGGATTAACCAAGTGAGCCACAGCGCCAGCCCCTATAATCAACTTTTAAGAAATTAACTTTTGGGGGCCAGTGTTGTGCTGAAGAAGGTAAAGCCACCACCTGCAATCCTAGCATCCCCTACGGGCGCCGGTTTGAGTCCCAGACACTCCACTTCCGATCCAGCTCTCTGTTAATGCGCCTGGGAAAAGCAGCCCCTGCACCCACGTTAGAGACAGGGAAGAAGCTCTTGGCTCCTGCCTTTGGTCTGGCCCAGCCCTGGCCATTGCAGCCAGATGGGGAGGGAGCCAGCAGATAAGATTTCTTTATCTCTGTAACTATGTCTTTCAAATAAATAAAATAAATCTTTAAAAAAACACTTAATTTTGAGTCTTAATATAGTATCAAAGAAGAATATCTATGGAAAGATTACTTAAGTATTTTTCTCTGCCCTGGAATACAGTGTGTGGGGCTGGATTTTCCTCATATATTTTAACCAAAACAGCATGTTGCAGGAGACTAAATGCAGAAGCAGATGTGAGAATCTATTCCATTGAGTTAAATATTAGAGATTTGCAAAACATAATACCACACCTCCCACTATTTTTTGTTTGGGGAAATATTTTTTGTAAAAATATATTAATGTTAACTTGTGTGGTTATATTATTTTTACATTTATTATGCATTATTATAGAACATTGTGCGTCGGTTGTTTGGAAAATACTTGTTCATCAGGTTAGACAGAACTTACAAATGTTGACGGTATGTAAAAAAATCACATCTGCAGATATCACCTCCAATCTCATCAGAAGTCATTTAAGCTGTCAATTTTAGTGATGGGTATAGATTTCCCAAAATTCTAATTTTCACTTGAACATTAAAATTTTATGAGGTTTATGCAACAAATGTTGTCAACCATTTTCCTTAAGAGTGACAGGTTCAATTTATTAATTTTCAGGAAATGTCTACCAAACAGCCAAGTCTGTATAACCATGTCATTATTTCAAGTAGAAATGGTGTTCCAAGAAAAAAGTAGCTATCCAACTTACTATTCCAACAACTCTACCAGTGTTCTAATTGGAGCCAGTCATTGTACTTTACCACACAACATAAGCGCTTCATGCATACTTTCCATCTTCTCAAATTACTTATAAAGGGGCCAACCTCGTGGCATACTGGGTTAAGCCTGCGATGCTGGCATCCTCTATGAATGCCGGTTTGAGTCATGGCTGTTCCACTTCTGCACTTGTTCACTGCTAATGCACCTAGCAAACCAGTGGAAGATGGCCAGCCCAGGTGGTTAGACCCCTGCACCCACACGAAAGACCCAGATGAAGTTCCTTGTTCCTAGCTTTGGCCTGGCCCAGCCCTGGCTGTTGCAGCCATTTGGAGAGTGAGCCAACGAATGGAAGATCTCTCTCTCTCTCTCCCTCTCTTTGTAACTCTGCCTTTCAAATAAATAAACGGATCTTTAAAAAGTATTTTTAATAAAAAGTTTTAGGTAATATTAATGACTTTTACTGCCTTGACAAAGACATTCTCAGGTCACACTGGCTTTTTTTTTTTTTTTTTTTTTTTTTTTTTTGCAATACTTTGGTATGCTTGCTCTGAATCCTTGCTCAACAATTCTGTTATTTATAGTAAATACATTACAGATGTTGGTTACTAGTATTATGCTTTCCTTTTTATTTTATTTTATTTTTACTTATTTGAAAGACAGTTTAGAGAGGTAGAGATGAAGAAAGAGAGAGAGAGGTCCTCCATCAACTGGTTCACTCCTCAAATGACCACAATGGCTGGAACTGAGTTAATGTGAAGCCAGGAGCCAGGAGTTTCTTCTGGGTCTCCCACGTGGGTGCAGGGGCCCAAGGACTTGGGCCATCTTCCACTGCTATCCCAGGCCATAGCAGAGAGCTGGATCAGAAGTGGGGCAGCCGGGACCTGAACCGGTGCCCATATGGGATGCCAGCACTGCAGGGCAGGGCTTCAACTCGCTAAGCCACAGCGCCAACCCCAGTATTACATTAGTTACATTCCTCAAATACATCCTTACCACTCAGCTCTTAACAAACTAACTATTCCTGAACATGGCTGCCACCAAGACAAAATGAAGAGAAAGTACTCATTAAAACTGTGTACGGCTCTGGCAGCGACTAACCATTCCATTCCGGACCAACTGCAGTGCACTTTAAAATTAATGATGGAAAATGGACAGATGTGATGGGTCACTGAGTACATGCATCCCCTGGCTAACTGCCTTGCTCCTGGCACAGGAGAGAGAGATGGAAGCAAACGCAGAAGAGCCAGGTTAGGATACTTGGAGATGGAAAGATACGGAAATTCCTGTCTGACTACTTCTGTTGCTCAGCTAAGTTTGAGACATGGTCATGTGCCACAGATGAGGGCTGGGAGTGAGCGGAACATAATGTGAGGAGAAAGAAGCTGTGAAATTGGGGCTGGTGCTGTGGCACAGTGGGTAAAGCTGCCCCTGCAGTGCCGGCATCCCATATGGGCACCAGTTCAAGTCTCGGCTGCTCCACTTCCATCCAGCTCTCTGCTGTGGCCTGGGAAAGATGTAGAAGACGGCCCAAGTCCTTGGGCTCCTGCACCCACGTGGGAAGACCTGGTGGAAGCTCCTGGTTCCTGGCTCTGGGATTTGGATCGGCACAGCTCCAGCCATTGTGGCCAATTGAGGAGTGAACCAGAGGATGGAAGGCCTCTCCTCTCTCTGTGTAACTCTTTAAATAAATAAATAAATCTTAAAAAAAAAAAAAGAAGAAGAAGTATGAAATTGTGTACTGGAGGATGAGGAAGGGAACAGCCTACAGAATGTTGAGTGCTAGTGCCGAGATGCCAGGCCATGAATGTGAAGGAAACCTGTCCACTCTGTTACTCCAGTAACATAAAGCTGCTTGATACAGGCACAGATAAACAAATGCTTTGCTGGGTCAGTATAATAAATAGAAAGAAGGCTAAAGATGTTTGCAAAGTTACACTTAGGATGATAATTATAATGTTACTGACTATAAGCCAGAAGAATGCTGGACAGTAAAAAGTGAGGATCATGAACTCAAAGTCATGACGGCATCAAAGACTTCTGGCCCGGGGGTAACAGAGAAAGTCAGCCATGAGATCAGAACGGGACGCCTGGCCAGAGGTCTGGAGACTGTTCAATCCTAACAAGGGTCAGGGAAGGACAACAGGTGTGGACAGCATGGTAGTGGGAATGCATGCCTACGGTGCAGCAGAAAGAAAGATTAAGAAACAAGATGTGGGGGCTGGCGTTGTGGTGTTAGCTGTTGCCTACAATGCTGGCTACCCATGTGGGTGCTCCCAGCTGCTCCACTTCTGATCCAGGTCCCTGCTGTTGGCCTGGGAAAGCAGCGGAAGATGGTCCACGTGTTTGGCCCCCTGCACCCACGTGGGAGACCTGGATGAAGCTCCTGGCTTCCACCTGCTGCAGCGCTGGCTGCTGCAGCCATCTGGGACGTGAACCAGCAGATAGAGATCTTTCTCTCTCTGTCTCTCCCTCTCTCTCCATAACTCTTTCAAATGAATAAATCTTAAGAAAAAACCAGACAAACAACTTGAAGGGGGCCTGGTGTGCAGTGGCTGCAAACAGCAGGCTCCTTGGCAGCGTGTGCAGCCTACTGCTTGTTTAGGCTGCTCTGAGGGACCTTGAACACAGCCCTCTCAGTGGACATTCCTGCCTGATCCTGCGCTGTCCCTAATCTAGGATGCAGACAGGTATGTGCGGTGCTTCTGGAAAGCCCCGAGGCACAGTGACTAGAGTTCACACGGCCCAGTCATCACGTCCATCCGCACCAAGCTGCAGAACAAGCAACATGTGGTTGAGGCCCTGGGCAGGGCCAAGTTCATGTTTCCTGGCCACCAGAAGGCAAACAGTGCTGCGGCCTCTTCGTTCTTCTACTCCTGCCCCAGGCATTCTGACTCAACAGTTCTGTCCATGTCCTCAGATCCACAATCTCAAAGAAGTGGGGCTTTACCAAGTTTAATGTGGATGAATTTGAAGACAGGGTGGCTGAGAGTGGTTGTTCCCTGACAACTATGGAGTCAAATACATCCCCAACTGTGGTCCCTTAGACAGGTGGCAAACCCTTCACTCAGAAGGGTTTCCACTATCCCAACCTCTCTTTAATCATCAATAATAAACCCTGATTGCTGTTTAAAAAAAGAAAGAAGAAAGAAGGAAGGAAAGGAGGGAGGGAGGGAGGGAGGGAGGAATACTGGTGCTGTGACGCAGTGGGAAGCAGTGCCAGCATCCCTTAAGGACGCTGGTTCAAGTCTCAGCTGCTCCACTTCCCATCCAGCTCCCTGCTATGGCCTGGGAAAGCAGTACAAGATGGACCAAGTGCTTGGGCCCCTGCACCCTTGTGGGAGACCTGGAAGAGGCTCCTAGCTTCAGATCAGCCCAGTTCTGGCTGTTGCAGCCATTTGAGGAGTGAACCACCGATGGAAGACCTTTTTCTCTGTCTCTCCCTCTGTAAGTCTACCTCTCAAATAAACAAATAAAATCTTTAAAAAAGAAAAAGGGAGAGCTTAGCACCTGGTCAAGTTTGACATCGTGAACTGCAAAGGAAGGGAAACAGCAAGGAAGCTGCAATGCCCAAGGTCACCCCTCCCACTGCACCCCAAAGGACATCGGACGTGAAAAGGGAAGAAGGGCACCTAATCGCGCGGGCTGCTGGCAGACAGATTTCAACTAGGCAAAGAGCTCATACAGAATCCTCCAAGGGAAGACTGGGAATACAGTGTGCATACAGGGCCTCTGGATGGCACCCGGAGGTACCACGGAGAAGGTCAAGGATGAAAATTCCTGGTAAAGCTGCTCTGAAATCTGTTCCTTGGAGGCTCCCTACTGTTTCCCAATAAAAGTTCAAAACAAGTTCAGGTTTAATTTACTCTGTTAAGTAATGTATCCCCAAAATAATCTCAGGATAAAGTCTGCGTACAAGTGCTTACCTCTATTTCTGTAACTTTTTCAGAAGGATTGTCAATTAGGAAACGCGCTAAGGTGCCAGGAGTGGTTCTGTAAGTTAGAATGATTGAGTTCTTAGGGTCCTGACACCACTGAATAAAGAGATCCCTTGAGAATCCACACTCCAAGTCGGGCTGGCTGGCAAGCACAACTTTGGGGCTAGGAACTCGCGCCAAGTCAGAAAGACCATGGCATAAAGAAAGATGGCGAAACTGAAATGGATTATTTCTTTTGTCTTCAAAACATCTCATCAATTTGTCACTCATCCATTCTACCTAATATGAGGAGAAAAGATGACAATAATTAGAAAACAGCACAAGGACACCCCAGTGTATTATGCAACAGTCAAGGAATCCAGGCTGCACCCGCTTTAGTCCTTCCCCACCTAGCTCCTTACCTTTGTGCCGTTCTGACACGTACCTTCTCGGCTTCTCTCTGTCAGTTCGCCCACTCAAGTTCCCATCCCAATAAATCCAGTTTTACACATTTCACTTAGAAGTCACCTTAAATCTTTTAAGAAGGCAGTGTATACATTCTAAATGATTGCTACCCCTAGGGATAGCTGCCTTACTCAAAACAAAGTGAACAACACATTCTAACATTTTATCCTGTGAGTAGGTTCTATTTTTGTTCCCATTTACAAACTGAGACATTAGGAAGAAAAGCAACTTGCCCAATCTAACCACTTCATAGGGTACATACAGATTACATGAAATAATACATGTAAAGTACATGAGACAGTACATGGCTAATGTTTAGTTACCATTGTTATTATTATTATTATTACTATCATTATCGGTCTCTCCAGTAGAAAAAAAAATCTGAACTAAGATACCATACTCCATAAGCCCAATCACTGTAGCAAACTTGTTTATAGCAAATGATAACATGAAGACAAACCTGGGACTTAGAAAACTCCACCACGTTATAACTGACATTATTTAGGAGTGCCAGTGAGTAAACACCCAAGCCTGCGTCTTTAGTTCTCCAAATCTGATCAAGGAGCTGAGCAAGCTCCAAAACCCGGCCTGCAGTATCCACTGCTATTAACACATTTCCATCACCTCGCAGCGTTTCCAGGACATTCGCTACAAAAGAAGATGGTAAAATCCTATGGAACACAACACTTGGCTAAAGAATTAAAGACAACTTTATCTCCCACTTCATACTATAAAAACCACAATTTATAAATAAGCAATTACTAGGCCAGCTACAGAATAAAGAATTTTGTTGAGGTTATTATAATTACATTTCCCTCTGTTAAATATACCCCCATAGGAATAAAAAAACGTTATTGATTCAATTTTTTTCCATTAAAAATTATACATCAGTAGTTTCTAACCTTTTCACATATATGTAGAAAGTTTCATTTGTATCACCAGGAAAATTAAATGACAAGGCCAAATGTAACTAGCAGAGATTTCCAGGCCACCCCAGCCTCACCTGTCCATCCCCAAGAAACTCGGTTATGATTAATTCCAAAACTTACACATACACACACCCAAACTCATATAATAAATATTTTACATGTATCTTCACCTGTAGAATAAAGTATAGATCACACTCCCTTCCAACAAAAGCATTCTTTATAAATATAATTCCTTGCTCTAAAAAAAAGTCTACTTGAACATCTTTGGTATAATGAAACTAGCAAAAACAAACCAAAAAAACCCAAAGAATTAAAAAGGTTTCTTAAAATTAAAGTTACATGGTATACAAGCTACACTTTTGAAGTAGATTAGGGCAGGGGCTGCAAACATGTTTCAAAGTGAAACCCCACTTTCCTTGTTAAAATCTCCACAGCTCAAAAAGGAACATAAAGCAGGCAGCCCAAGTCAACGCAGAAGCAAGCAGTGAGGGCTGGGAGTGCCAACAAGAACCCAGACAGACAGAGTGTAAAAACCCGATTTCGGCATTAGCGGACTGCTGCACCCTCACTTCTGTTCGCTTTTCTTTAGCAGATTTTTATGAGGTCTTTACATAAAGACCCACACCAGTGAGTGCCTCTGAGAGCTAGCAATGTGCTGAACGGCAGTGAGAAGCGATCTTGACATCTATCCCACAAAAGTTAAGTTAAACCAGTTAAAGAATATCCTTATAAAATACTGATATGGCCACATACTAGTTCTTGAAAACTACTATAGAAATACCTAATCTCTTAAAACCAAAAGTGTGACATAGAAGAACAGTTAGCCGCACCACCACACCCCTCCCCAGCTCTTTACCAGGACATTAGGTAACACGTACTCAGAAGCTGCTCATCTCTCTGTTTTCTTCTGGGCTGCACATACGTAGCATTAAACGAATCTGTGATAAGTAGGGAGGGTCTGCTTAGCATTTCCAGGGAGCATCCATTTAAGTGGCTATAACAAAGTTTAAGAAGACAAATATTTTATATCATTTCAAATAAACAATAGCTCCTGACTTAACAAACAAGCAGGGGTGGGCATTTGGCATAGCAGTAAAGGCGCCACTTGGAATACTCACACCCGTGTCAGACAGAGCTCCAGGGCCGGAGTCTGGGCTCCACGCGCAATCCCAGCTTCCTGCTAACGCACACCCAGGGGGGCAGCAGTGATGACTCAGGTACCTGGGACCTTGGGAGGGGCCTGGACTGAGTTCTAGCTCCCAGCTTCGGTCCAACCCAGCTCTGCTATTATGGGCATTTGGGCATGAGAGCTCTCTGTCTCTCAACTAAATAAATTAAATTACTACATAAGAAAAGAAAACAGATCGCTCTCAGGAAATGGAGCTGCAGAATCTTTAAGCAGCTAGAATCTATAAACAACTTCTTTTATAAGGTTTTTCTCCCATTAGCCACAAAAGTATAATTGCTCATTGACAAGAAATATCTTATTTCAAAAAAGCATATAGAGAAAAATAAAAATCTTCCAGAGTACCATCACTCAGAGATAACTAATAATTGGTGTTTATCTTTCTAAGAATATAAATATTTCTATGCATATGATAGGGGTCTGCAAAAAATTCATGGAAAAATGTACATTGTCTTTGAATTCCATTTTCCACGAAGCTTTTTAATTTTACTTATTTGAAACAGAGACAGACAAAAAGAGCGAGCTCCCATCTACTGCTCACTTCCCAAACGCCTTCGAGGCTGCGGCCGGGCGGGGCCTCCGAAGCCAGGAGGTGGAACACAACCTAGGTCTTCCATGTGGGTAGCATGTGAGGCTGTGGCCAGGCAGGTGGAACACAACCTAGGTCTTCCATGTGGGAAGCGTGCTGCCCCAGGCTGTGCCGTCAGCAGGAAGCAGGAATCCAGCCCAGGCTCTCGGACCCGGGATGTGGCATCAGAACTGCCGACACAACTGAGAGGCAAGTGCCTGCCCTTCCACGAGTTCCCTGAAGTCGTTTCACATACGTGTATTTTACAAAGTTGATAGCCCATGTATGCTCCTACATGCGCCATTCTATTTCCTGATTTTTCCTCTTGACGTTAAAATGTTTTTTCTAAACCTAATTTTAAATCATTAAAAACTTTCCATCATGTCTGTACTGTTTGATTGTTTCCCTTTGTTGATATTTATGATTTTTTTGCCATTATGAATTACCTCTCAAAGGCTGTTTCTACAAAAAGCTTCAATTGCATTTCTGGCTGCATCTTCAGAATACATTCTAGAAATCTATCTGCTGCAATTCACAGTGCAGCTAAATGGTTGTCCAGAAAGGTTCAACCAGAGAGACTGACCAAGTCACTAAATACCACCATGAAGGCTAGCACCATTTAAAAATAATTTTAATGTCTCTAGTTAAAAAAAATTATAATTTTTTCTTTCTTGAGTTTGACTTCTGACCATTTACAACAGTATATTTTTGATTAGTTGATTAACACCTGGTTTTATATATGTATGTCTTTGGACAATGTGCTGAACATATTTTCCCTACATTATTGCATTATTGGGTTTTAAATTTGTTTCAGACATGTTGAACCTGTATGTAATCGAATCTATCAGACTTTTCCTTTCTAAGTTGGACAATTATTTTTATGATTATAAAATCTTTTCCAAAGTAGAGATCAGACTCACCAGTTTTGCTTCACTTTCTATTTAATTCTAATTATCTAAAATATATTTTGTTACATGGTTAAAAAAACACAAATTGATTTTTCCCCAAAATGACTGAATTACCTAACACTAATTACTCTAATATCCATGCTTTCCTCATTAATCTATGATCATAAGAGTCTAAATTCAATTCATTGGTCTCAAAAATTTCTTAATGTAAACATCTCAAGACCATAGCTATGAAGTTAATATATTAACAGATGTTAACAGAAGCCTGTATGAGACTCGAACCCAAAAAATTTTACGGTAATGCTGTGCCAAATAAAATATGTAAAATTATCACTATCCCCTTTTAAAGGGAACAGACTTGAACTAGTTATAATTACTGACTTTATAAAACAAAGTCAACAGCAAAACACATAAAGCTCTGTTAAGTACCAGGTCAAGAGCATATTTGATGTATGAAAATTCATCTCCTTGGGATAATCTCCAGGGAGACCTCTGTTTTACAGAGTAGATACTTACCCACAAATTCTGTAAATCGTACTTATGTCTTACACCAAACTTTCCCTTACACGGCAAACAACTAAGTAATTTCGAGAACATTCACTATTCCATGCTTTTCAATTGTTAACTTCTGGTTTCAAAATAAAAACAACTTTGTTTCTAATCTGGCCCCCAGAATGAAACACCAATCGCCTTTCCCTTCGTATACCTACATCTCCCTCTTGTGGTTGAAGTCAACAGCATACACAATCTCCTCCTCTCCATCTTTGACTATTTTCCATATTGTTCCACCTATCATATGACCGGCTGGCAGAGGTGTGATAGACAAACCATGTCCTTTACCTGTGTCAACAAGATAATGACATATTCAGTTTCCTGTCACAACTCTGAAGAAAGGTTATTCATTCCCAAGCTATCTTAGTAGGGTAATATTTGCAGAGACTCACTATTCAGAAGCAAAAACAGATTGAAAACAAGTCTCTCTCCTTTTTTTTAATTTTTTATTATTATTATCTTTTTTTTTTTTTTTTTTTTTTTTGACAGGCAGAGTGGACAGTGAGAGAGAGAGACAGAGAGAAAGGTCTTCCTTTTTGCCGTTGGTTCACCCTCCAATGGCCACCGCGGCCGGCACATCGCGCTGATCTGAAGCCAGGAGCCAGGTGCTTCTCCTGGTCTCCCATGCGGGTGCAGGGCCCAAGCACCTGGGCCATCCTCCACTGCACTCCCGGGCCACAGCAGAGAGCTGGCCTGGAAGGGGCAGCTGGGACAGAATCCGGCGCCCCGACCGGGACTAGAACCCAGGGTGCCGGCGCCGCAGGCAGAGGATTAGCCTATTGAGCCGCGGTGCCGGCAACAAGTCTCTCTCCTATCCCCTGACTACGCCCTCCCCTCACTGTGGGCAAACACTCTCATCATTTTATTACATATAAAGGTACTTCCAAAGGCTGATGGACAATTGGAATTAAAAAATTAAATTTTTTCTGTTGTAAACAAATTTGAAATTCACGCATGGTTTTCTTTATAATACACATTCTCTATGAATGTTTTGAAAACCCCTTTTATATGCAATTTCAAAATATTTTTGCACCAAAATAAACTTGTGGTTGCATTTGTCTATGAACCTTTTAAAGGCCCTTCATATTCTTGTAGAGATATTGGTGCTTATAAATAGAAGGCTAGAGACTGGACTAGACATCAGTACACTATTAAATAATTTGGCATGAACACACTTTACTATTTATTTCATACAGACAATTAAACCAACACTCAAACTTCATCTGAGATATGCTAACCTCAAATGTCATTATGGTAACGAATTTACCCCACAGAAAATCACGTTTAAGCAAAGCTATTGAGGATCCCTCTTAAGTCACAAGCTCAGTCTTCAGAACCCATTACTGCACCATTGTTTAATGCCGATATTTTTATGAAAATTCCCACTACTTACTATGTGACTCCCCTAAGTAAGTGACAAGTTTTTAATGCCCAATTCTAGAATTTGGTAATTTCTAGTGGGCCTCCCTAGTACACTAACTTTAATCATTACATTTAGCCATCTGAACTGCTGTCTCCTAAGTCTAATCATAGCTCCGTGAGAAGGATGTAGCCATGTTATTTTTGTTCATTCCACACAGTAGACAGTTCTAAGTTACATATGAAAGGCCAGACTTGTCAACATTTTACCAGAATTCAGTCTTAAATATTTTAAAATTCACAGGGACGTTCGGAGTTCCATACCAAGACAGAAAATGCTAATTGTTCAATTCTTCAGACCATAGCGCCTACAGCTTTTACTATGAATTCTCTTCAGTGTTTTTCTGTGGGTAAAGCCTCTTTAGTTCAATTATTTCCTACTAAGAACACTTTTACCTTTCAAATTCACAATCTGAGAGAATTTTAGCTGCTGTATTTTGTCAAAGGCTGCATCCACATCATCTAACGTAAAAAGCGTAAAATCTTCGGTATTGTGCCGAGACTAGAAGAACAACACAAATGAAAGGTTAAGAACGATCACTAAGGAAGTGTAAAGAAACGGCGTTTTCGCAGCTCCAGTTACCTGGTAGAGATCATACATGAACATCTGTCCCATTTTATACACAGGGATGGTGGCGTAGATGGCGCAGTTCAGCCCCAGCTTGCCCACAGCATATGGGAGGGCCCCGAGATGCAGAGGATCCGGGTGGGACAGCAGCACCGCGTCGATCTGGTGAACGTGCCTAGGAGAGTACAAGCCAAATGACCACTTTCTCAGCTCTTGTTTTTGGGGGAAAGGGGAGATACTCACAATTATTTATTAATTCTGGATGGAAAATTACACTGGGGTAGAAGAGCAAAACTAAGAGCTTAAATTATGAAATCTGTGAATGTCTACTGTTTGCACAGCTATCAAAATTACGGTGTAAGTTGCACCTAAAAATACAGTGTTTGGGGGGCTGGCATTGTGGTGCAGCGGTGCAATGCTGGCATCCCACAAGGGCTGCCAGTTCATGTACTGGCTGCTCCACTTCCAATCCAGGTCCCTGCTATTGTGCCTGGGAAAGCAGTGGAGGATGGCCTGAGTGCTTGGGCGCCTGCACCCACATGGGAGACCCAGATGAATCTCCTGGTTCCTGGCTTTGGCCTGGCCCAGCCTAGGTCGGTGCAGCCGTTTGGGGACTGAACTAGCAGATGGAAGATCCCTCCATCTCTACCTCTTTCTGTAACACTGCCTTTCAAATAAATAAATAAATCTTAAAAAGAAAAATACAATGTGTAGACACATTTAAAAAAGAAAAAAAGGGAAAAAACACCAGAAGACACCACAAGGAAGCTCATTTTGAAGGGCTGCCTTTGTTAGCAATTTAAGTTCTAGAACTCAGCTTGAAATTTCAGAAACTGTTAATGGAAGGATATCTGAATGACCACAAATTATGAATTTTTACCTCCGCTTTTTAGCATGATGCCCAATAGCATACTCATTAAAGCAAAACATCAATTAATCAAGGGAACATGTTCTTATTGACAAAAGAGGATAGTTTGGGTTGGGTTTTTCTGTTTGTTTGAAGATCTACATTTCAGAAAATATTTAAGTCCTCTTCCCCTAACAATAAACTTAACACTGAACCATCAATTCTTTTTGATAGATTCAGATCCTTGTGTGCACCGTAGTCATTGCTCTGAGAACAAGGTCTCAAAGTTTGGCATCAAAAGACACTGAAAGCAAGCTAAGCTTCCATGCGGCAGGTATTTTCCTCTCCTCAAATTCTTAGGGACTCTTGCTCTTTCCTAAAATTTGCAAGCAAGATTTCTACTGATTAATGAAGTAATAATTAACTTGAAGATTGTTTAATTTCAACAAAGCTTGTAAGTCAATCAAGACTTTTTAAGTTAAAAATCTAGTTTAGCTTTTTGGTACAAGTAAAATTTTGTCTTTTACAACAAACTAAATTTAGGCAAAAAAGCAAAAATCCGTAACATCAAAATGGTAGTACACGGTAGAAAAAAGAAGCTGACTTAAAACAAGGCTGGAAACCTCAGTGTCACTTACTTCCTCAAGGAATCTATAATATCCATCGAGAAGTGTTCATCCCAGCCACAGTCCAGCAAAAATCTGAACTCATCAACTTGGAGAAGATAGCAAAGAGCAGACTCTTCTTGGACCCCAGAGAGGGTAGTTAATTTGATAATAGATGTCATTCTTCTGGTCCAGTAAAAATAATCTAAGAGGTTCCTTGAAAATAATTAAAACATGATGAAACATAAAAGCACAGTCAAACGTCTGTTAAAGACAAATTAACAAATTATTTCAAGCTATAAGTTTACAGAAATTCTATAAATACGCAAAGCACACATTTTGAAGAGCCATTTGCGTCATCGCCACCCTCAAAGGTACAAGCAGAATGTACGCTCTTCTTGTTCACAATGAGCACCTCAGTGGTTCCCGGGGTGTAGAGGTGGTTGATGGAAAGTAGTAGCCTTGGAGTCATGAACACACATTTAAATCTACTCCTATACAATCTGGGGCAAGTCAATTACCCTTTCCTTACCTATAAAAGCCTATACGAAAACATTAGTCTTAATTTGTGTATAAAGACAATGTTGGAGGATTTTAAATAATGTCTAAATGACCCAGAACGGAAATTACCACATTTAAGTTCCTTAATGCCTGTTTACTGAATTAATGAATTCAGCTTCAAAATGAACTGGTATCTTTCTTTTTTAAAAAAGATTTATGGGGGAAGGAGGGGCTGGTGTTGTGGCACAGTGAGTGGGTAAACCCACCACCTGTGACCCCGGCATCCCATATGGATACCAGTTCCAGACCTGGCTGCTCCATTTCTGATCCAACTCCCTGTGCCTGGGAGAGAGTGGAAGATGGCCCAAGTGCTTGGGCCCCTGCAGCTACACTGGAGGTCTGGAAGAGCTCCTGGCTTTGGCCTGGCCCAGCTCTGGCCTACTGCAGCTATTTGGGTAGTGATCCAGCAGATGGAAGATCTCTCTCTCTCTCTCTGTCTCTTTCTCCCTCTGTTTAACTCTGCCCTTCAAATACATAAATAAATCTTGAAAAAAAAGAATTTACGGGGCTGGCGCTGTGACATGGGTAAAGCTGCAACCTACAGCACAGGCATCCCATATGGATAGCAGTTTGAGACTTGGCTGCTCCACTTTGGATCCAGCTCCCTGCGATTGTCCCTGAGAAAGCAGTGGATGATGGCCCTAGTGTTTGGGCCCCTGCTACCCACAGGGGAGACCTGGGTGAAGCTCCTGGTGCCCAGCTTCAGCTTGGCCCAGCTCTGGCCATTGTGGCCATCTGGGAAGTACACCAGAGGATAGAAGATCGCACTCTCTCGCTCGCTTGCTCGCTCTCTCTCTCTCTCTCTCCACTTACTCTTTAACTCTCATTTTCAAATAAATAAATAAATCTTTTTAAAAAAAGGATTTAGGACCTAGAACTATACACTATTAAACAGATGTTAGGAAAAATATTCATTAATAAAGTTGAACTCCATAGCAACATTTCAGATTTTAGCTCCTCAGAATAAATTAACGTTCCCTGAAAGGCGCTCCCTGAATTACCTGATGTCTCACTATCTACCCAAGGTCACTGACAAACTGAGTTAAACTATTACCTTTCTTAACAGGTGTCTGACAGTGGCAGGGGGTGGGGGCTAGGGATAATCCCACCAACCACATCTCCAATTATTGTTACCTGAGTTGCAGCCCCAAGTCTACAACGCCTAGATCATTCAGTATCACAGACACGGTTATCAGTGATAGCATCTCCTGGCTGGGTCCTATCCCCTACCTCTTCTCCCCCGACCAAGTTCTTCTGGTATGTTCTCCAGAGCTATCACTTCACTCACTTGTAACTTCAACCCCTTGAACTCTGTTTACCTGTTTGTCTCCACTGACCCTGGTGTTCCCTAGCGGTAGTTTCTTCTTCTTCTTTTTAAATATTACAGCCGCTGGACCTCAAAAGCAGGAAGTAAGTGTTCCTTGCTCCGAGCAGCTTCAAACCAATTGCGCTACTTCCTGTTTCAAAGATTCCAGTCCCAGGAACGCTCGCGGCACCCAGGGGTTCTCTATTAGCCTTCCACGTCTGGAAGATCTGACCTGACCTCACTCACGCCCATGGCGGCTGCTCAGTGCCCCTCTCATTAACTTGACCGTGGCCCTTTAGTCCCTGACTTCCTGGACTCATCACTACCAGCGCCTGCACAACTTCTGAAATTTCCCCTGCGAGTCTTCACTACCACCCTGCTTTTCCTGTGTTTTCCCACTGCAAAACTCCCTTGACGTCCCCGGGATCCCTGACCCTCTGAGCCCGTTTTCACCCTTCACGACCCTTCCCTGCCTCCACTCAGGGCCTTGCTTCAATCCCAGGTCTCTTAGGATCATTCTGCAAACACCTTGGTCCCCTATTCCTCTGCGCACTGGCCGGGCAAAATCCAGCCCCCACTAACTGCAGTCATTCCCTTTGCCTATTCCAGCAACTGAGTGCTGCCAGAGGAGAAAAACAGAAATTGCGCAGCTATGCCGTTTGCTCTTAAAATTCATGGCTGACATCTCCAGCAGGCACTAGCTACCACGGGTCTTTTCTTAGTAGTTGACTTTGCATCTTTGAGACTATCTCCTACTTTCTCTTCCCTGCTCAAGTTATCACCCACTATCCCTCCAGCCTGCTGTCAGCTAATAATCCCACCTCATTTTTTTACCAGAAGATAAAAGGAATCAGACCACAACGCCTCATTTCCCAGACCCCACGTCTATTATCCTAGCGGCATCTCCATCATTGCCATGTCTCCTACTACATGGAATAATCGGCCCTGTTCCCAGCCAAGGCCAATCCCTCTGTGGGCTCCCGGTCCCATTCTCTCACCTTCTAAAGACTCAGTTTCTTCAGCCAGCCCCTTTCCCTTGCATCATAAATGAACCAGTCACCTACTGCCAATGAGCACACCAAGATCATCTAGAATTTCCCAGTTTATGAGAAACCTCCTCCCCCCAGAATCACCGCATTGTTTCCTCTTCCCAGCAAAATGAGTATTTGTCCACCGATTGTCTCCACTTCCTCACCTCCCCCCTCTGCACAACCAAATCTGAGAAGCCACAGAAACACCCACTTCCTAGGTTGTGCGGGGGTTTGTCAATGACCTCTATGAGAGCACTAGGTTTGGTACCTCCTGGCGCTATTTCTCAAATTTCCTCTGTCTACATTGCACCAAGATCTCTACTAGGTTGTGTATTTTCCCTGTCCACGGTTCACTGTCTCAGTTATTCTGATCACCCTAAAGTCCTCTTCCCTCCACACTCTGCAGCACCACTGTATTCACTTCAAAACCCTGATGTCCTCTGTAACTGCTATTCATTTACTTGCCTGGCCTGTTCCCTTCGCTTTTGATTCCAGCGCTAGAATGGGCTCCGTAAGTCTCCTGTGACCAGTCATATCCTGCTGCCTCCACAGAGCGGTGGTCAGCAGACGCCTTTCGAACGCTCGAGGCAAGGTGAGCACTAGAGCTTAGTGCCCTCACCACACCACGAGCAGTGCCTGCACTCCCTCTCTTGACAAGGCACGCTCAGTACAGAGCTGGGCTCAGCCATTCAGAACACCAGCACATGCCCTGCACGCCACGGCTGTTCAATAACGTCAACAAATTAAAACTTAAAATAGACGGACTGACTTCTCAGTTGAGGCATGAGAAGTATAAAGACATTATTAATAATCTGTGAAGGTACATCAGAAAGTTCATGAAAATGGAATTCAAAGAGAAGATGGTTTCAGCATGAAAATTTTTGAAATCTAGGCCACTTGTCCACAAAGTCTCCATGAACTTTCTGAAGTACTCTCACAGTTGATGAAAAATTTTTTGGAAATACAATTTTAGAATGGACCTGGGAATTTCTAACTGCCAAAGGATTTCCTGTACCACAATTATATCAATGGCTTCTCTATTCAGATCTACAGACTAAATATCTTGCATACAGAACTCAATGAATTTGTGTTAAACTTTTTTGGTAGACTGAATTCAACAGATGAAAGATAATTTTATTACAAGTGCCGATAACATAATAGCAAAATATCTTCATTAGACTCTACTTACTGATATCTCAGTCGGATTTATAATGAAACACCATGAATTCAGAAGAGCTCTTAATAAATCTAAAAAATAAACAAAGAAGTCTCATGAATGTGGTATGATTTACTTCTGTTTATAATTATTATTGCTAACGAGTATGCCCTGCCCTAAAGTACCAGCAGCAGCAAGTAATAGAATACATGGTTTCTTTTGAGAAATCTGTCATACTTTTTGGGACTTAAATATGCAGTTTAGGATATAAGATTTTAAAATTAACAGTATTTTAAGCTATTAAGAATCACAGACAAAATGGGACCAAAGATTGTTCAATACTGACTTTTAGAACGTGGATAGAAGAAGCAAAGTCTTCAAAACAGAGGAGTAACACGAGCAGAGGCACAAGATACAAAGGCAGAGCACCAGCGACAGAGCCACGTGGCCCACTTTGAGGGGCAGAAATGAGTGAAAGGCCCTAATAAACACAAAGCCGCCAAATACTGATGGACTGTGGGCCCAGACCCACAGGCAAAAAAGAAACAGTTTAAAGTCCCTTACTTAGGATGCCAGCTACAGGTGATTCTAGCTCTGACGTGGACGACTGAACAGGAAAGAACACACTACAGGGGCAGGCATTTGGCACAGCAATTAACACCCTGATTAGAGTACCACATTCCCTATCAGAATGCCTGGGCCTGGGTCCTGGCCCTGTGCCCAGTTCCAGCTTCCTGCTAATGCACACCTCGGGAGGCATCAGGTGATGGCTCAAGTGTCTGGGTCCTGCCACTCTCATGGGAGATCTGGACTGAGTTTCCTTCTGGCTTCGGCCTGGCCCAAGCCAGCTGTTGTGGGCATTAGAGGGAAGCAGCAGAAGGCAGAATTCTCTCTCTCCCTGCCTTTCAAACAAGCAAGAAACTGCAAACAGGGCAATAAAAAAGGACCCTGTGTATCTGACCACTTCGCGCCCTCGACTTTGCTCATTTTATTTTAGGGCTGAATTTCTTTAGCTCCCACGCATTTGATTATTCTGTGATATCAACTCATTAACTGCTATAAGTAACCAAGGCCGTAAACTCCATGTTTAATTTTTCCCTTTACTTCTCCTTGTAAGGCCTGTGACCCACTGCCGCTTGTTTTCCCGCATCATCCCCCATCCATCCCAACACCACGATCCCGACACAGGGCCTCCCCGCTGCACATCTGGGCTTCTTGCTGTCTTCGCCTCCAGTCTTTCCTCCCTACCCACATGCTGCTGCCAGATCAGTCTTCAGAACCAGCCCTATACACCCATTTCTCCTTGCTCAGAAAACTCCGCCGACTTCCTACTGCTTCAAAACAAATACCTAAACACCTCAGCGGGCAATGGAGGCTGCTGGGCAGCCGCCCTGACACCACGGCTCCCATCACCTCTCACGCTCCAGCTGAAATGCAGCTTCCTCTGATCCCCCACCGTTGAGTCTGGACCAGAAGACTCCATCCACAGAAATACAATGCACGTCACAAGTGTAACTAAACATTTTTTCACAGCCACATTGAGAAGTTAAACATGAAGTCTCAGTCTTTTATTTAGCCCATTTAACCAAAATGTTACCATTTTAACATGTATCCATTATTAAAAATTAGTGCTATTTTGCTCTTCTGTTTTTTATATCAAGTCTTCAAAATCTAGTGTGTATTTTACATTTATGGCACATCTCCATTGGAACCATCTTGGGGTTGCCATTGTGGCACAGCGGGTAAAGCCACCACCTGTGACACTGGCCTCCTATATGGACTCCGGTTTGATTTACAGCTGCTCCACTTCCAATCTAGCTCCCTGCTAACAACCCAAGAGCTTGGGCCCCTGCACCCATGTAGACTCTCAGAAACCCCTGGCTCTAGCCCAGTTCAACCCTGGCTGGTACGGTCATCCAGGAAGTGAACCAGGAAGTGAACCAGCAGGTGGAAGACAGCTCTGTAACTCTTTCAAACAAATCAACAAGAACTAACTACATCTCAAGCCCAACAGCTACAGGCAGCTACTGTAGTAGCGCAGGCCTACCCTCCACAATGGGTGCTTGAGCAGTAACCACTGGGCTCCTGCCTCTTCTCGGGGGCAGGGTGGGCCCACTCTAGTTTCCTGGGCATGTTTTGCTGTGTTTTGCTGGCATCACCAACCAGTCAGTCTCCCACACTGAAACCCCGAGTCCCTCCTTGCGGAAGCTGGCGGTCACCAGCTGAATCCCACTTGACCCTAGTCCGACATCCTTTAATGTCCTACCTCAACAGAGGCCCTCATTGCCTTACCTGGAAGACTGTAACTTACTCGCCCGTTTTCCTGTTCCAGGCTGAACCTCCATAGCTGCCAGAGACCATCCTAAAAAGCAAATAACCTCACTTCCACTCCTGGTGCGAGGCACTCACTGGCTTCCTGCTAACTGCTGAAAAAAATCTAAACTCCTTGGTTGGAAATCAAGGCCCTGCACAAGCTGATCTCAACCTGCCTCTTGCTTTGCCAGCCACCTGGCACAGCACACACACACTCCCTAAATACGCCAAATATTCTCAAGTCTGCATCCCTGAGCTAAATCCAGAAATGACCTTCTGAGCTTAGCAAATTTCTTTTACTCTTTTGTGGCCAAGTTCAAACAATGAGTAATTCATGGAGCTTGGTTATTGTTACTTTGAGACAAAGGGACTATTGTTGAATGCATAAAGGCATCACCTTTGTATTTCCAATGCCAGGCACAGTGCTCAAAGCAAATACAAATGTGTCCTGAGAGAGGGATGAACCCTCACACTTGGAAGCTCCCCCAGGGCGGGGACCTGACAGCGACTCTGGGTCTCTATCACTGTTATGTGGGCTCTCAGTAGGGACCAGGCAGGTTGGTGGCGGCTATGGATGTGTGCAGGATCCAAGAGAAAACGGAGATGGGGCCGAAGCTGCAGCACAGACGGTAAAGTCTCCTCCTGCAGTGGGGGCAGCCCATCAGGGCACCAGTTTGTGTCCTGGCTGCTCCACTTCCAATCCAGCTCTCTGCTATGGCCTGGGAAAGCAGTGGAAGATGCCCAAGTCCTTGGGCCTCTGCACCCACGTGGGAGACCCGGAAGAAGCTCCTGGCCTCAGATCGGTCCAGCTCCGGTTGTTAAAGCCATTTGGTGGTGAACCAGAGGATGGAAGACCTCTGTCTTTCCCTCTCTCTCAAATAATAAATCTTAAAAAAAAAAAAAAAAAAAAAGAGAGAGAGAGAGAGAGAAGAAAAGAAAGAAACGAGACAGTAAGCCATGGAGTGCAACGCCTCTTCCTGGTCAGTGCAGGGCGAGCGGCGGCTTCATCCCAGGGGACAGGACTCGAACACAAGTGAGGGCTGGCTCAGGGTCGCCTGGTCACAGGAGCCCAGACGTGCGGGGGCCACAGCCCCTCGGACGCCTCGTTTTCTGAGGGCCTTGTCAACAGAGAGAAAGAGGTCCCGGGAAAGGCGGCAGCGAAGGTGCAGGCGCCCGGGGCGAGCCGCGCGCCACCGCCGTCTGCGAGCACACCTGCTCTGCGCCCTAGGCTCGGCGGCCTCGTGGCCCTTCGGCCCAACGCCGCGGGAAGGCCCTGAGCCGAGGGGCTGCGAACGGCGCGCGCCCGAGCCCCGAGGCCCAGGAGCCAAAGCTGGCGTCAGGCGAACTCCTCCGGCGCCGAGAGGCCCCAAGGACCGAGGGAAGCCGAGCGGGACGGCGGCGGACCCGACAGGCCGGCGCGGAAGACCCGGGAGCGCTACAGCCGTAGGCAAGGCGCTGCTGCTCCTCCGTCCTTGTGCCGGGAACCACCGGACAGCCGCATCGGAAGCCGCGGGAGCTCGTCCTCGGAGGAGCCGGGTCCTAGCTGCAGCCCTGTTGCCCCGGCGCGCTTAGGACGCCTCCTCCCCCATCCAAAGACTCATGCCTTTCTCCCGCCCTCACTTGCCTCGTCAGGCCTCCCCCAACGGCGTCCACTAGGGCCCTGCCCAACCCCTAGTCGGATCCAGGCTCAAGAGGGACAAAAGCAGACGTTCGCTCAGCTGCAACCCCGACGCCCGGCCAGCAAGAGCCCCGCAGTGGCGGCCGCCATTTTGAAACCGGAGGCGCGGAGCCGAGGGGGAAGATCCAGGGTGATACCACCCGGGCCGGGGAGGGGGGGAGTCGAAGCCGTGGGAAGGCGGTGGCGCCGACGCCGACAGATCACGTCACCTCGGGCCGAAGTTCCGTCAGAAATTATGGTTGGTGTCCGAAAGCTTTAGAAAAGTAACAAAGAATCACGCCCAGAAAGGAAGGCGAGGTATGTGTCGCCGGCCGCCACCCCTCTCCTCCGTCCGCGCGCGGCGAATGGCACGTCCCGAGGTCGCAGCTTCCGCCGGCGCCGCTGGCTGTGCGGGTCGCTGCCCTTGGCGGTGGGTCGTGCTGGGCGCCGGCGCCGCAGGTGGGTGCGGGTGCGGGTGCGGGGGTCCCGGGGGGCGCGGTTCCGCCGAGCCGGGTGGAGCGGGTGCGGCGGGTTCTAGGAAAGCCTCGGCGGTGGTCCGTGCTCGCGGTCGGGTGGCCTGGGCCTTCCCGGCGCCTCCGAGCCAAGGTGACGGAAAAGGAGAGGGGATAGGGCTTTTGAGGGGACGACAGGCTTCGTCCGCGGCTGTCGTGACTGGGAAATGTCTTTAGCGGGGGCCCGGTGGCCGCCCCGCTGCTGGACGCGGGGACACCGGCGGGACCGCATGCGGGGGCCCGCGGAAGTGCGTGACGGCCGCTTGGCCTGTGTGTCCCGGGCGGCCGAGGCTCAGCGCTCCGTCTGCTCGCCTGCCTCGCTCCCTTCTGCTTCTTAAAGCCTTAGGTGTGTCACGTTCGTGCTCGGTTGCTAAGGTGCGTGTCCTTCCGTGCCCCAGGAGCTCAGTTCCTCCATGCACTCAGCACTTTGCATTGGTAAATTGAAACTTTCTGGGCAAAACACAGGGTGTATATATATATATATATATATATATTTGTATGTATATGTATATTTGTATATATATGTGTGCATCAAGAGTTTGAAGTGATTTAAAAAACAAGAGACAACGATGCCAGGTGGTTTTTTGTTTTTTTTTTTTTTTTAAGATTTTATGTATTTATTTGAGAGGTAGAGTTAAGACAGTGCAAGGGAGAGACAGAAAGAGGTCTTCCATCTGCTGGTTCACCCCCCAAATGGCCACTACAGCCGGAGCTGTGCTGATTAGGAGCCAGGTGCTTCTCCTGGTCTCCCACACGGGTGCAGAGGCCCAAGCACTTGGGCCATCCTCCACTGCCCTCCCGGGCCACAGCAGAGAGCTGGGCTGGAAGAGGGGCAGCCAGGACGGGAACCGGCGCCCATATGGGATGCTGGCGCCGCAGGCGGAGGATTAACCTAGTGTGCCACAGCGCTGGGACCCCAAGATGGTTTTCTTTTAAAAGCAGGGCCAAAAAAACTGGGTTAAAAAAATTTTTAGGAAAATAAGATTAAAAACTTAAAAGGTAACCAATGAGGTTAAGATAAACATCTGCCTCTATACTTTTTTTTTTTTTTTAAGATTTATTTATTTATTTGAAAGGCAGAGATAGAGGGAGAGAGAGCAATGTCTTCATTTTCTGGTTCACTCATCAAATGGTTGCAATGGCCATGGCTGGACTGGGCAGAAGCCAGGAGTCAGGAGCTTCATCCATGGCTCCCCTACGAGGGTGCAGGGGCCCAAGCACTCGAGCCATCATCTGCTGTTTTGCCAGGCGCACCAGCAAGGAGCTGGATCAGAAGGGGAGCTGTGTAGGGATTTGAACTGGATGCTGGTCTTGGAGGTCATGGCTGTATCTGCTCGGCCACAACCCCGGCCCCACGTCTGTACTTACTATGTTGGACACCAGAGCAGAAGCGGAGAGCTTGGACAAGGAGCCAGGCTGCTTAGGTGCCAGTCCCAGCTCTGCACCTTCTTACTGCATCTGTGAGTGGGCAAGAGATTGGATTTAAGCATCTGGAACAAAAATGCCTACTGCACTGGGGACATACTAGTTAACACGTGTGTGGCGCTCTGTGAGGATTAAATGAAGTGATTATGGGAGGCAACAAGAACCGTGCCTGACTGCTGCAAGAGACAGCCCTAGTAGAGGTGAGCAAAACAAAAAGCAAAAACCCAGGGTCATGCTTGCGTTAAAGGATCCGTGATCTCTAAGTCCCCAAGGTAAAACCCGATTCGTTTTTCAGGAATACTGGAGCTATGCCTGCAAGCCAAGCAGGCACTAAGCTCTTGTGAGCAGTCCTGTGGCTGTCACACCCTAAAGCAGTTGGTTCTTTTTCCCTCCTGCCAACAATTCTTCTGTCATCCAAAACCTAGGTTTGCCTCAGTGAAGCCTGGCCCCAGTGCTCACTGCCCCTTTCTTAAGCTCCTGGGCCCAGGATGGAGAGCGCTACCCTCCATGGAATTTTCCATAGGATCCTTCCAGCTCACTTCCGTCCATAAAGCTTTGAACCCTGGTTATCCACTTGGAGTAAAACTTTGAGGACAAATGGTGTTCAGTGCACTGTTCCCAAAGTCCATTGGATACTGCTGGTACGGTTGTGATGAGAAATGCCTGCCTCTGGGCATAGGGTTTGTCCTTTACTTCTTCGGGGTGGAGTCATGTTTCCTTCATGTCGTTGGGTCCAGCTCATGTGGTATCTGACCTTACAGAATCCTGTATCTGTGGCCCCCACTGTCTTCTGGAGTCTGAGAAGCTAGCTGGAGCAAACGCCACAGGGGCTTGTCGCAACTCCTGCTCAGAGCCGAGCTGGACATAGTCAATTGCTTAGCTTCTGGCCCTGTGTGAAGAATACCAGGAGTGATGGTGTACGGCCCACAGGTAGCCATGGGCTCATTTAAGACCATCCTGGGCTGTGAATCTGCAAGTCGCTTAAATACGAAGCAATATCTTAACAGCTGTGCTGAGGGTAGGCTCGACACCTCTCCACAAAGAGAAGCCTAGGAGGGACAGGTGACAACGGATGACCAGTAAGTTCGTCGGAAGTCGCCTGAACACAGACGCCTGTATTGTCTTGTATTTTGCAGTTGAGCTGTTTCAAAGCAACATTGTTACTGAAAGCATTCCTTGCTAGCCCCTACCTGACTGGCCCGAGTTTACAAAAGAAGTAAGCAACGGACACTGACACTTGACCAATCACAAACCATGCTTAAAGATCTCAGGGCAATTATCATCTCTTACCAAAGGCGCTAGGCTAAAGGAACCTCCATCTTCTAAGAAATAAAGGTTGGTCACACTTACAGTTTGTATGTCAAGAGCCACTTGTGTCAAAATTAGCTGGGATATTCGTTCAACTCCGGTGCTGTCCAGCCTGCCTGGTGGTGAGGCCGCGCAGTCTGAAGGGAAAGGCTGCCAGATGAGAGCTCCTGCCCTCAGGAGACCGCGCGCCAGAGCGACTGCCTCGTAAGTGATCTGTTTAAACAGCACATCCTAGTTACATCATCGTTTTCTAGGTCAGTGAGACTGCAGGACCGGAGCCTGGTGTGTGTGATACTGCACCTCTGAAATACAGGAGAGTCACTGTGACTGCACCGCCCTTTCCTAACCCAGTGACTTGGCCTCGAGGGTGTTGGACCAAAGTGTGAGAAACCAGAATTCAGAATCATGTAAGTGTTCGAGGCAGGGTCAGAGGGGCAGGAATTCAGCCTGGGCCGTCCTGGCACAGTTTGGTGCCAAGTACTGTGTTTTCAGGGTGTCAGGTCTCCTTAGCCAGTGGACGTGAAGTATTCGCTTAGGTTCACGTGCACGGGGTGTATTTTTGGTTACTCTGTATATTACAGATTTATACAGAGAATTGGCAGTTAGCTGCTTTCATGGCATGAACACAAATACATGATTTTCCACATGCTGATCACTAGTTCTGTTCTCTTCCTCTGCCTTTTAGAAACTCGTACACTGCAAAGCTCTGGAGTACCACGCATGTATGTTCAATACATGATAGAATACCAGGAGCCAGAGCTTGGGGGCAAATCTGAATTCCCGTTCTGCACTTAGTAGCCACTTGGATTACGCTGTTTTCTCCTGTGTAAAATGAGGATAATACTAGTTATTTCACTTATCAAAAAAAGGTATTATGGCCTTAGTCCCCAGTGGGCATTTTGTAAAAGTTCCCTTATCTTTTGTGAAGGCATTTAATTGAATGTAAGAGCTAATGTGAAGTTACTGGATATGATTCTTTTTTTTTTTTTTTTTTTGACAGGCAGAGTGGACAGTGAGAGAGAGAGACAGAGAGAGAAAGGTCTTCCTTTGCCGTTGGTTCACCCTCCAATGGCCGCCGCTGCAGCCGGCGCACCGCGCTGATCCGATGGCAGGAGCCAGGAGCCAGGTGCTTTTCCTGGTCTCCCATGGGGTGCAGGGCCCAAGCACCTGGGCCATCCTCCACTGCACTCCCTGGCCACAGCAGAGAGCTGGCCTGGAAGAGGGGCAACCGGGACAGAATCCGGCGCCCCGACCGGGACTAGAACCCGGTGTGCCGGCGCCGCAAGGTGGAGGATTAGCCTATTGAGCCACGGCGCCGGCCCTGGATATGATTCTTTTTAAACTCCCTCTCACATCTCTGAGTTTCCTTTCAAAAGGTAGTTTCCAATAACTACAGCTTTACTGAAAGAATTACACTTCTGGCAAAATAGCATTGCATTTGTTTTTGCATTTGGAAAGATTCTTTTAAGTTTAATTTATTTGAAAGAGTTAGAGGGAAAGACAGAGAGATCTATCCACAGGTTCATTCCCCAGATGGACCCAGTGGCCAGTGCTGGACCAGGCTGAAGCCAGGAGCTTTATCTGGGTCTCCCACATGGGTGGCAGGGGACCAAGTACTTGGGCCTTCTTCTACTGCTTTTCCCAGACCATTAGCAGGGAGCTGGTTCGGAAGTAGAGCAGCCAGGACATGAACCAATGGCCAAATGGGATGCCAGCATTTGCAGGTAGTGGCTTTACCAGCTACACCCCAACACCAGCCCATGTGGTGTTTTTTATGGTCTCTCCACATCTCTGTTCTATATCATATCAAATTATTGGTAAGCTATAAATAAAATTTAGTAAGTAGACTTTAGGAACTGACGTCGTAGTACTTGAGTTAAGCCACTACTTGCAACAATACCGTCCCGAACCAGAGTGCTGGTTCCAGTCTCAGCTACTTTGCCTTCCATCCTGGTTCCTGCTAAAGCTCCGGGGAAGGCAAAGGATGATGGCCCAAGTGCTTTGAGCCCCTACCACCTACTTGCCAGGACTACTGGCGTGGTGCTGGTTCAGCTCTGGCTATTGAGAACATTCGGGGAGTGAACCAGTGGATAGAAGATCTTTCCCTTTCTCTCTCTCTGTCTCTGTGTGTCATTCTGTCCTTCAAATGGATAAATAAGGGGCTGGCACTGTGGCATAGTAGGTAAAGCTGCCAGCTTGCAGTCCCAGCATCCTATATGGATGCTGGTTCGAGTCCTGACTGCTCCACTTCGGATCCAGCTCTCTGCTATGGCCTGGGAAAGCAGTAGAAGATGGCCCAAGTCCTTGGACCCCTATACCTACATGGGAGACCTGGAAGAAGCTCCAGGCTCCTGGCTTCGGATTGGTGCAACTCTGGCTGTTGCAGCCATTTGGGGAGTGAACCAGCAGCTGGAAGACACCTTTCTTTCTCTCTGCCTCTGTAACTCTGCCTTTCAAATAAATAAATAAATCTTTTTTAAAAAGTGGAAAATAAATCTTAAAAAAAATTAGTGCAGTGTAATTTTTATACTAATCACTGCTGCCTGTATGAGCTTCAGGCAGGTTTCATGGACTGTACTACATTCTGATGCCAAACTGATTTAAAGAGGCTTTTTATGGTTTTAATATCTGCTCCTTGCATGGTGATCTTCTTGTTCCCAATACAATATAAAAGGTATTTTGGGGCTGGTGTTGAACTGCTGCCTGCAATGCCAACGTCTTGTATGAGTGCCGATTGGAGTCTGGTTGCTCTCTTTCAATCCTGTTCCCTGCTAGTGCGCCTGGGAAAGTAGCAGGAAATGGCCCAAGTCCGGGGGCCCCTGCACCCATGTGGGAAACCAGGATGAATTGTCCTGGTCTAGCTCTGGTGGTTGCGGCTGTTTTGGGAGTGAACCAGCAGATGGAAGATCTGTGTGTTCCCCTCTCTATCTCTGTAACTCCGCCTTTCAGTGGTAGTTCTGACAATCTTTTTTTCTTTTCTTTTTTTTTTTTTAAGCAGTCATGGCAAACTTGCTTCAGATTGTGCGTGACCACTGGGTTCACATACTTGTCCCTGTGGGCTTTGTCTTTGGATGTTATCTAGACAGAAAGAATGATGAAAAGCTAACAGCCTTCCGGAACAAGAGTATGTTATTTAAAAGGTTAGTTTGTGCATTTTTTGTAAACCAGCAGTTGGTCACCTTTGGGGAATATTCTTAATATCCTATGTGCCAAAAATAAGCAGAAGGGGTGCCTGTGCCCCCCTGAGTTCTCAGAGTCAAGTGATACTAGTTTTTAGTTTGTTATTAATCCTTGGATAAAACCGTATGAACACCCCTGGAGTATAAGCAGTCTCCGGTTGATGAACAGGCCAGTTCCAGCACTTGAAAGTCTGATTTTCTAAAAATTCATCAAGTTTTAAGCCAGCTGACCAAAGCCTGGCCTGTATAAAGCTCTCACACATACCACACACTGTCTTATTGAGCTGTGATGCGACTGAAATAAATGCTCGTACCCGTGGCCTAGTGCTGTCTTCTCACCAGCACTGCCTGGCTGAGTGCTGGCAGCCGGCAGCCGCCGGTCCGGTCGTGTCCCTCGAGATGGCTCCTGTGGCAGCAGTCGCAGTTAGCGGTGCAGGTTATCTGCCCGGGGTTGTCCATCTGGGCTGCAGGAGGCTCAAGGGGCAAGAGGATGGAGCAGATTGCACAGTCACCACGTAGCACGGGGCTTACTAGTCAGGTTGCGAGAAGCATCCACTGAGGCCGCAGGCATCTAGAAAATCTAGATTGATTTGTTGAGAGGACAGAGTGAAAAATGGCTAAAAGTTACTCAAGTTGGGGAAGATGGAGTGAAATGATGTGATGAACATGTAAAACGTAAAATCACAAGACTAGGATGAGGATGATAAATCTCTTCCAAATGTTTTTTAAAAAATAGTTTAGTAAAGTGTAAGATGTTCTGACTCGCTTCCATCCTGTCCAAAAGGTGTTATTTGCAGTGTTTCCTGTCTTTCCACACAGGGAATTGAGGCCTAATGAAGAAGTTACCTGGAAGTGAGGCTGCACTGAGTTATGGAGTGCTGGCGTTTTACGAGATGCAGGAGAAATAAAAACATGTTTACTATTTGATGTGAAGAATCTGAAGTGTGGTTCTTTTTAAACTTCTTACTGAGGTAAACGTTTTTATGCTTTTTATGTTTGCTGAGATAATCATCATGTATCAAGCATACTCAAAGGTATTAACTACCTGATTGTATACCGTGGTGTTACATTTGTAAGTGGCATTTGATTGTATTTTTCATTTTGGACAACAGTACTGTTAAATAGCCAGAGTTTTCCTCATATATTTTTCAGAGAAGAAGCATTTTCAAACCACATGTTTCAAGGGAACTTTTTCTTTTTTTAATTTTTTTTTAATTTTATTTATTTCACACATAGAATTAGACAGTGAGAGAGAAAGAAAGGTCTTCCTTCCGTTGGTTCACCCCCCCAAATGGCTGCTACAGCCAGCGCTATGCTGATCTGAAGCCAGGAGCCAGATGCTTCCTCCTGGTCTCCCATGCAGGTGCAGGGCCCAAGCACTTGGCCATCCTCCGCTGCACTCCCGGGCCACAGCAGAGAGCTGGACTGGAAGAGGAGCAACCGGGACTAGAACCCGGCATCCATATGGGGATGCCGGCGCCGCAGGTGGAGGATTAACCAAGTGAGCCACGGCGCGGCCCCTCAAGTGAACTTTAAAAGTGGATGCTAGGATTTTATTTGGTAAAGATTATATAGCTAGGAACTTTAATGACTGCACTTGGCAAAGATTTTTTTCATTTTTTTAATTTAATTTTTTTAATTGAGAGAGAGAGACATATACACAGAGAGAGATCTCCTAGCCACTGGCTTCCCAGATGCCCACAATAGCTGGGATTGGACCTTTAAAAAAAGCTTATATGAATTGTGAAAATCTTTACACCAGAATAGCATTTTTAATTCTATTTTTTCCATGAACTTTTTGAAATGCCCTCATTTCTCTGCAAGATCCTGATTGTCAGTTCTTTCGGCTAGATATCCAGAAGTGGGATTGCTAACTCATGTGACAGTTCTATTTTTAAGATTTTTTTTTTTTTAAAGATTTATTTATTTGAAAGTCAGAGTTACACGGAGAGAGAAGGAGAGGCAGAGGGGGGGCAGTCTTCCATCTGTTGGTCCACTCCCCTACTGGCTGCAATGGCTGGAGCTGCACTAATCCGAAGCCAGGAGCTTCTTCGGGGTCTCCCACGTGGGTGCAGGGGCCCAAGGACCTGGGCCATCTTCTGCTTTCCCAGGCCACAGCAGAGAGCTGGATTGGAAGTGGAGCAGCCAGGACTTGAACCGGCACCCATATGGGATGCTGGCACTGCAGGCCAGGGCTTTAACCCGCCTCACCACAGCGCCAGCCCCTATTTTTAAGACTTTTAAAAATAATCACCATCCCAACAGCTATGAGGTGATAATCAGTACAGTTCAAATAATATGTTTTAAACAAGTACAGATATAGTATTATAGTTACACTTCAATAAAACTGTAAAAACTTTAAAAAATAACCTTTGAGGCTCCAGTGACTGGGAGAATTCTAAAAACACCACCCTGGGTGGGCTTTTGATACAGTGGTTAAGATGCCTTTTTGGGGTGCCGCATTCTATTTTAGAGTGCCTGGGTTAGGTCCAGGCACTTCACTGCAGCTTCCTGCTGATGCAGACTCTGAGAGGCGGCAGCGATGGCTCGAGTCCTGGGTCCCTGCACCCACATGGGAGACCTGGATAGACCCCTGGTTTCCGCCTGACCCAGCCCAGCTGTTACAGGTGTTTACAAAGTGAACCAGCACGTGGGAGACCTCTCTCTATGTGATTTTGCCTTTCAAATAAAATAAATGAATTAAAAAAATTTTCAAGACACCAGAGAAATAGTCTTTAAAAATATTCCTTTTCCCTTGATATATGAAAGTGGGTTGATGAATAATGCATGAAAAATCACTAAGGAACAAAAAAGCAAATAGTGCTGATGAGTAACATTAGGTTGTATTTCTTTTGTTTTCTTTGGTGTATTTTGGGCATATACACTATTTTCAGCCTAGTGTCCTTAAGTCTTAAGCCATAGAGGAATGTATGGGAGGTTTTAACACTGGGTATGTTTCTTTGGAAACATAAATTGCTGATGCCAAGTTGAGTAGAAGGCAATTGAATTTTCTCTTGGTTCACTTCTGAATTTTTAACAAATTATTTAAGTCCAGTTACTGCTTCTTGGGAACCCGATTTTATTCATTGGCTTTAGGCAAAATTGAATTTAGGAGAAATAAGATTACAATGAAACAATACCCCCTAGTTAGCACTTGTTGTCAGAACTCAGGAAGCTCAAATTGACACACATTACAAATTTTAAGATGTCAAAATTTGAAATTCTGTTGACTGTTTGGTGGTAACAAAATTAATGCTAGTTTGTGAAAAGTGCAGTGTTCAAGAAGAGGAAATAGCTGTGCCTCTCACTAGCTGACAGAAATTTCAGTGAAGTAGACCAGAGACAAGCTGGCACAGAGGACGTCTGCCGGAAGTGCGTGTTTGGCCTGTTCCTTCTGCAGGGACTTGTTCCTGAGTAGCTCACTAGCCTCTCCTTCTTGTATTCTGAATTATTGTGATAACTTTTTTTGCACCCATGTATCAAAAAGAATTGAAGGGTCAGCGCTATAGTGTGGCGGGTAAAGCCATCGCCTGCAGTGCCAGCATCCCATGTGGGCACCTGTTCAAGTCCTGGCAGCTCCACTTCTGATCCAGCTCTCTGTTATGGCCTGGGATAGCAGTAGAAGATGGCCCAAGTGCTTGGGCCCCTGCACCCATGCGGGAGACCCTGAAGAAACTCTTGGCTCCTGGCTTTGGATCAGCGCAGCTCCGGCCATTACGGCCATCTGGGAAGTGAACCAGTGGATGGAAGACCTCTCTCTCTGCCTCTGCTTCTCTGAAACTCTGTCTTTCAAATAAATAAATAAACCTTTAAAAAAGTTTTAAAAAAAGATGATATACTTTGAGCTCATGCATTCTTGTTTTTGTTTTTTAAGATTTTTATTTATTTATTTTTTTATTTTTTATTTTATTTTATTTATTTGAAAGGCAGAGCTACAGAGAGAGAGAGGCAGAGAGGGAGGGAGGGAGAGAAAAAGAGAGAGAGAAAGAGGTCTTCCACCTGCTTGTTCACTTCCTGGATGGTCACAACAGCCGGAGCTGAGCTGATCAGTATCCAGGAGCTTCCTCCACATCTCCCACGTGGGTGCAGAGGCCCAAGGACTTGGGCCATCTTCTACTGTTTTTCCAGGCCACAACAAAGGGCTGGATCAGAAGTGAAGCAGCCCGGACTCGAACCAGTACCCATATGGTATGCTGGCACCGCAGGCGGTGGCTTTACCCACTATGCCACAGCGCCAGTCCCTCACGCTTTCTTTAGTTTTGCATAGTTTTGTGCTTCATGTCAAGAAAGAAGAAATTAAATTCCCCAGGGTTGGACCAAGTTTTATGAGTTTTCTTTAATAGATCTTTGGGCTGGGTGTAACACCATTAACAGACTCTGGTCGTACCAAATATGTGCAAAGGGAATTTGTACATGGTTTACTTGAAAATTCTATTTATGGAGGACGTATAGATAACTATTTTGATCTTAGAGTTCTTCAGTCATACCTGAAGCAATTTTTTAGTTCTTCGATAGTTGATATATTAAACCAAATGAACAAGAAAAGCATTTTTCCTTATTCCATGTCTCTGCCAAAATCCTGCAGCTTTTTTTTTTTTTTTTTTTTTTTTTTTTTTTTTTTTTTTTTTTGACAGGCAGAGTGGACAGTGAGAGAGACAGAGAGAAAGGTCTTCCTTTGCCTTTGGTTCACCCTCCAATGGCCGCCGCGGCCGGGGCACCGCACCTATCCGAAGGCAGGAGCCAGGTGCTTCTCCTGGTCTCCTATGGGGTGCAGGGCCCAAGCACTTGGGCCATCCTCCACTGCACTCCCTGGCCACAGCAGAGAGCTGGCCTGGAAGAGGGGCAACTGGGACAGAATCCGGCGCCGCGACCGGGACTAGAACCCGGTGTGCCGGCGCTGCAAGGTGGAGGATTAGCCTAGTGAGCCGCGGTGCCGGCCTTTTTATTTAATATAAATTTCCAAAGTACAGCTTATGGATTACAATGGTCCCCCCCCCCATAACCACCCTCCCACCTGCAACCCTCCCATCTCCCACTCCCTCTCCGATTACATTCGCATCAAGATTCATTTTCAATTATCTTTATATACAGAAGATCAATTTAGTATATATTAAGTAAAGATTTCAACAGTTTGCACCCACACAGAAACACAAAGTGTAAAATGCGGTTTGATCCTGCAGCATTTTGGACTATCACGCTGTCATGAAAAGCTTCCTAGTTCATGACAAACCTGGTTCTTTGGTCTTCCTGCCAGTATTGCTCACTCAGCACATGATCAGTTCTCAGGTTATTTCACCCTTGAGGATCTTGGGCAGGTCAGTTACAGCCGCTTGCAGATCTGATAGAGAAATCTGGTCTAATGAACTTTCTCTTTTCTCAATCTCTGGAAGAAATTAAACCAGAATTCAAACCTGATCATCAGAAAGTGTCTCCTGGTGATCGACAAGGATCTCGGATCTTAGCATCCGTTGTTCTTGAACAATTCAGTGCCATCCGTGTGCTCCGAAGTGTTCATCAGTGTCGCGCTGCTCTCAGCGAAGTCATCAGAGCAACTGCCTCATTGAGTTCAGAAGTACAGAAACTGGCAAGTGCTTTATTAAACAAAAGTGTCCCCTCACATGGCAGAGTAAGTGGGACGCCCTGAGAATCCCTTACAAAACCTTAGAGGCTGTCACTCGTGTCCTTGCAATACGGAACTGGGTAGATAAAGCTGAAAATCAGACTCTTCTCTCTGAAACACTTGACCTATAGAACTCTTGCACCCAGGCACATTTCTTGATGCTCTTCGCCAAGACACTGCACGGGCAGTGGATCATTCTGGGTATAGCCTCATAGAAAGTCGACTTTAAGGTCAGTGGCTTGTTACTGGGAGGGTGTAGTTTTGATGGAAATTGACTTTCTGGAAATTAGCGTGCTTCTCCAAGTGT